ATTTATTTAACTCTTTATTGGAACAAAAACATAAAAAATAAACAATGACGTATAAACAATTCAAATGACAGTAGTATGAAGTACAGATTAAAATATACATATAAAGGTACAAAAGGCGGTGTTATCGCTAGGGCAATCTCTTACAGACAACCTTTGGTTAAAGGAGAACATATATGTAGAAAGTTTACAAAAAACCGAAATTACAAATTGGTCTTGTAGAAATTTTATCAATATCGATTCAGTAATTACTTTTTAAAACAAAATAGTTTTTTCAAAATTGATGTTGGACTTTTTTTAAATTCAATCTTAATTGTTTTACCCAAAAACCAGAGGGAGACTTTGTACAAAAGTGGATTGCTTGAATACCTCTGTCCCATTCGTGTTTCAACCGTGAAGCAGTTGTGTTTGCATGGCTGTGTTTCGATTTGAAGGGTGGGATATGGCGTGAATTTACTGGGTACAGAGGAATAACACCTGAGTCCTCAGGGATGGCAACGCATGGGGGGTATCATGGGCGAAACAGTATACTCTGTTATGTTAATGGTACTGCTCATGTCTATAGGTGACGGTTACCACTTTCCATCAGGTGGGCCGTCAGCTTGTTTGCCATTCTAAGTTGTATAATAAAAAAAAAATTTACCATTATACCTTTTATGTAACTAATGGCAAGTCATGGAGTTTGAGCCTATTACTATTTGAACCACAAAACACATTGATGCTTTCATAGCATTGACCTACTAATGGTAGTAGGTCAATTCTTTCATGCGACACATCTATCTCTATGTCTACATCACTACATAGTATAAAACAAAGTCGCTATCGCTGTCTGTCCGTCCCTGTGTATGCTTTAAATCTTTAAAACTACGCAACGGATTTTGAAGCGGTTTTTTTTTTTTTTAAATAGATAGTTATGTCCATGGTACTGCTCATGTCTATAGGCGACGGTTACCATTTTCTATCAGGTGGGCCGTCAGCTTGTTTGCCATTCTAAGTTGTTTAAAAAAAATACTACCCGTGTGAAGCCGGGACCTGTAGGTCTACCATGAAATGATTTCCGAAATTTCGGGGACGAACGAAACAGAAATTTGATATTAAAATTACATAATACATGCCGTTTAAAATTATTAAAAATGTTAAAATATCGTTCCTTTGGACTATTAGGATAGGATTTATGATGAACGAAATGTTAAGCTCCATTTACTGGCTCGACTTCGGTACAAACAAAAACACGAAATTGAGCCCGAAAATTCGAAATTTCATTTCATGGTAGACCACCTGGTCACCACTATAGTATAAAGCAAAGTCGCTGGTTGCGTCTATTTTTCCTAATTAAATAACTTTATCGACCAAAAGAAAATATGGTACAAAAGGCGAACTCGATGCTAGAAGCATTCTCTACCAGTCAACCTTTGGGATGAACAGTGAATCACGAACGTAGTACTTCAATATTGAGACAGGTAAAGACAATAATAATTTCTCTGCCTAACTTCTATACCACGCATCAGATTTTGCTATGGGTTTCACTGTCATTTAAATATTTTTGATAGGTTTATACAATATTTCAATTAAGCTTTGTACAATATCTCAAACATTTGTATGAGTAGATTGCATCTGTGAAGTCGGGGGGTTCTTTAGTGTTTTTTTTTTATAACACCCCCTGTAAGCCTCATGCTTAAACGAGCACGCTGCTCACCTGATGGTAAGTGACTACCGCCGCCCATGATCACCCACAACACCAACGGTATTGTAGGTGTACTACTAGCCTTTTAATAAGGAATATGCTCTTTTCTTGAAGTTTATGATGTCGTATCGGTTCTTGAATATAGCTGCTGGAAGTTGATTCCAAAGAGTGTAAAACAATAAATATATTCAAATATGATCTAAAAATAAGGAAACCAGATGTACATACTATTTATAGACATACACGCAAATTGTATGGGCATGCATGTATGAGATGTTATTAAACATTATTATTTCCTCAAACTGTTATCATTCAATATTTTTATTACACACTACACATGGTATAAATACAAAGTCGGATGCAAATGGAAGGATGCAGGTATCGTATAAGTCTAGACTGTACAAGAACGTTTAAAAAGTCACTTTAAGCGAATTCTGATAAGATTCATTTTATATAACGACTAGTTATTGACCGAGACTTTATGGAATTAGGTAACTATAATTTCTCGATGACATATCAGGATAAAATAGCCGTGTGGTCCCGGCATGGAATAGGCCACCCCTGTCTTTCCCGTGGGTGTCGTAAGAGGCGACTTAGGGAACTTAATGATAGAGGGATAGGCAGCAGCATTCCTCTTAAAACATCTCTAAAAGCCTAACTGCGGTTACCAACCCGCCTGCCAAGCGTGGCAACTACTGGTAAGAAAATGGGAAAGGCTTATGTTCAGCAGTGGGCAGTTAACGGCTGAAATAAACGATGATATTAAGATAAAACATACTGTAGATTTTAAGCTCGACTGCCAATAACACAACTGTGAACCGCATTTTGGTGCAATAACCACCAAATTGGATTATTATTGTTAAACTCGCAAAAATCTAACTGTTTATTAAAAATTATTAAAAAAAAAGTTTTACGTTTTTATATTAGTTGGGATTTATGAGTCCAATATGGGTGTATCATATTTATAATGCAAGAGATGACACCCAATTAGAATCCAACTTGATAAGTGCATTGCAGTTGCAAACTTTATCAGAGCAACTTTAAATAAATAGCTTGAACTTTGAACTTTGGGTAATCCTTGTAACTCTGCCGACTTTCTGAATTATGATAATAAACCCAATTAAGTCCATGATCCAATATATTTCATCATGATCTAATATTTATTTGTATCCATTTTTAACTGACTGCACTGAAGAAATCAAATGTATATAAACAACTAAAAATGCTTTTTTATGTAAAAGCAATGATATATTTCTTGTAACAAGTGTTTTTATAACAATGTTTTTGCTTCAGATCAGATTTCTTCACTATCCAAACTCCACAACACTGGAATACACTGCCGACTGAAGGTATACATGAGCTTACAAATAAATTTATGTTAAAAACAGTCCATGCTCAACTTATGAACTCATATCGCCATATCCCATCCTTCAAACCGAAACAAAGCCATGCAAACACAACTGCTTCACGGTAGAAACACGAATGGGACAGAGGTACCCAAGCAATCAACTTTTATACAAAGTCTTCCTTGTACTAATTGTATATAGAATTATACTAATATATGTATTAAAAATAGATTTACCCACCAATTATGGTAAAATATAGCGGTGTAATTACCTACTATGTACCATTTGTAAAAAACAATTAAATTATAACCATCATATTGCTAGCATTTAGGTTACTAGTACTTAATACTAACAATGTCTACTCTCTGACTGGATTTTTTTATACCACCAAGGTGGCAAATAAGCATACAATCTATCTGATGATAAACAGTAACTGGACGGTTTATTAACAAGCTTTTAGCATTACTTCTTCATCCTATATAGGATAGGTTGAGCTATTAAGAAGCTAAGAGATAGTAAACTGACTTCCATATTTATAACATTAGTAATTATTACATTATAGGTATCTGTCTTATTGTTAGAGAGACAAACAAGCAAAATATCTCTGATTTCTTTTATATTGGAATATAATATACTCAACTTATAATTAACTTAATATAATTAACTTAACTTTATGGACACTCACTATACACCCACTCTAACTTGCCTACCTCGCTATGGAATCAAAATTTTTGTTTGTATAAGTAAAATCCGTTATTGGCTGTATTCATAAGAGACTTAGCATGTAAGTTATTTTTTAAGAGCTGTGGATTTTTGTATAAAATAAAATAAAAAAATAATTCTGATTAGATGTGTCTAATAAGACAATAATAGGATAAACTTATATTTCATTATCTCTGTAGAGATATACAGTTAATACTGATGTATTTTATATCTTATCAATTAAAGTTATTGATAACAAATTAATATAATCTCATAATTTAGTATTTATATAATATATAGTATATATACACATATATACATAGTAAATATCAATAACTATTTAAGTAACTTTTTTTTTCATATTATTACTTCCATAAAAAGTTGGAATCTGTTCAGGAAAAAAAAACAACAATAATTTATGAAACAATAGAAGTGTTACTTCTAATCAGATTAATATTTAAAAAAATAAAATTCCAATTAGGTTGGCAAATGTGAGCATGTTAACTGTAACATTACTTAATATTAACAGTAAATTATTCCTCTGATAACCCCAAATAAAATTATAGTCATGAGCATAATTATAATCATACAAGTGTTTTATGTGTAGTATAATAATGTAGTTTTTATTTTATTAATTTCTTTTAAAATATATTCTTTAACCATTTATGAGATAGTGTTATAGACACTAATATTTTTTTTACCATATTAAACTTCAGAGCAAGGCATAGCTTCAATAGTTATTCTATTTATTATAAAAAAAAAAAACTAACATAATTTAATTCACAATGACACATTACACAAGAATATAAATATTAATTTAAAAAAAGATAAAAAGTGTAATGTTCACTGCTGTCTTTTTATTTTAGCATAAAACACTAGAAAATACATTTAAGAATAAATTAATATAATATTATGTTTTATTTTTATGTTGTTACTAAGCCTTAGAATAAGTATACAAGAGTTTCTGAAGTTTCAACATATAAAATGGAGTGCCAGACACCTAATATAAATAAAAATGTACAAATAAACATTCCCAGCTGCGGTGGTTACACGTCGTAGTACTTGATGTCTATAAATAACACAAACCCATCAAAAGAAACCCTATTTACGACAAGAGCACATATAGTTTGCAACACTATAGGGAAGTTCAAGTAACTGGGGCTGATATCATCGCTTCCTCTTTTAAAGCCTCGTTCATGAATTAATTAACGCAGAGTAAACATCGACCTAGCCTTGATAAAAGACCCTCCGAAAAATAAATGAACACTTACGATTAATATAGATGACTGTGGCATCAACGAAACTTGGTCATCTGAAGTGTTATTAGTCACTATTTGACACTATACACAATTTTAATGTTTACACAACAATATTCTGACTAATGAAGGGAAGAGATATTTCTAAGACTGCTTAATTTTTACGTAAAATAGCTAGTGCAAACAGAAAACTTCAATACATTTTTTTTTTAGTACGTTTGTTCCGTTTGGAACAGGCTAAGGTCGGAGACCATGCTGCCTAGTCTTCAAAAAGATAATTTGTCTGGAATTTTATTTTTCTAATGTCGCTTCAGTTATTGTCATAATCTTCAATATTTCATTTGTCAAATCCGGTAAGTACATTTTCATAAATATCTTTTCTTGAGTTTTCTTAAACCAGTGGATTTATCAAATTAAAAATAAATAATTATAAAAAATCATTGTCTTGCAATTCAATAAAAGTATTCTTATAGCTCCTTGAATGTTGTAGTAATATAAGTGAAAATAGCTTTGAAACAAGAAGGAAATCTTAAGAGAAGCGGGATTGAGTGCGGGATATTTATGTGTCTTTGAATGACAAATTCAGAGCAATCAAAAAAAAGGTGATGTAGAGATTGGGCTGTATTTGAGTTACACCATGTGCATGATGGGGAAGCGATCATGCCCATTCGGTGCAGGTGTTCGTTGAAATGTCCGTGGCCGATTCGTAATCTACAAATATTGGTGTAAAATTTTCTGTTTGTGTCCTTTCCTTTGCAGAACCACGGTTTTCCAATACGCCAATTAATTTTGCGGTACCATTTGCCTTTAGTCTGTAATATTTGAGTCCAATGCTCCTCCCATTTAGTTGTAACGATTTTATGTATTCCAATACTACAATCTGAATAACAAAGGGGTAAATCTTGAACACGAGCAGCACTTGAATTAATAATTTTAGCCAAAGTGTCTACTTGTTCATTCCCAAACACTCCAATATGTGAAGGGGTCCAGATGAAGATAATATCTTTTCCATATATAGTACAGAGATGATAATATTTATTACGAATTTCTTGAATTAAGTAGTTTGATGATGAAATGAATGTGTTATTTTTTAATGCCATAAGAACACTCATACTATCTGTAATTATAATCCATTTCGAATATAGTACCTGTTTTTCTATGTATTCTAATGCTAAAAATATAGCTTTTGCTTCTGCTGTGTAAATACTAGCCAAAGTTGAAATTTTATAACCGTGACCAAATCTATTTGACAAATCGTAAAAAGCCACTGAAGTGCTAAGTGCATTTTTGGAACCATCTGTATATATCTGCCTGTAGTCAATAAATTCTGATAAAGTCTCATACATATCGTGCTTTTCTTTTATGTCTTTACGTATAACAATTTTGATCTTACAGAACTTACTCTCATAAAGGCCATTATAACAAGGAAGTATCTTACTACTATAGATGTTATATTCATCTCGTAAATTCAAATCATTGACAATAGTTTTATTCAAAAACATAGAAATGGGGCAATTTAATAATTTGAGTATGAGTGGGTTATTGGAAACTGAAAAAACTTTGAAGAGAAATTTGAGTTTTAGGTATTCGAAACGAAGAAGGATAGGAGGCAAATTACATTCTACTTGCATTGAGATAATTGGAGAAGTATACATAGCACCTAAAATAAGTCTTAAATTCATATTTTGAATTTTTTCGAGTTTTTCTACTAATTTATGTTCTGAGGCATAACAAAAGAAAGCGTAATCAAAATTACTTCTAACAAGAGATTTGTAAAGTAAAAGGATAATTTTAGGATCAGCTCCCCAGTTACGACCAATTACAGATCTTATTATATTAGTGGCTCTTAAAGCACGATCTACTAAGCAATCAACGTATAGATCCCATTTTAAATTTTGATGAAAAATTACCCCCAGAAATTTAACGCTACAGTCTGTTGGAAGAGTTTGATTATTATATATAATATTCATTAATGGAACATATTTATGAACTTGATGAAAAACAACTACTTTACTTTTGGTTAAACTAATATCGAGGGAAAGAAGAGAAAAATATTTCTCAAGTCTTTTTAATGACTCATTTAACACTAATTGCATATCAATAATATTCTTTCCTTTTATATAAATTAATAAATCATCGGCAAATTGCAAGTTGTTCACACTGTTTCCTAAAATTGAATTAAGTTTATAGATATATAAAATATATAGTAGCGGGCTTAGAATACCACCTTGACATACTCCTTTAGAGCTTAACCTAGGTCCTATTAATTTACTATTTACTTTAACATACACTTCTCTATTACTAAGAAAATTATAAATCCATTCGATAAGTTTCATTGGAAGAAATGAGGATAAAATCGAAGATAGAACTGTTAAATTTACATTGTTAAAAGCTCCTACGACATCTAAAAAAACAGATAGAACATATTCATCGTTATTCAAAGCAGTACTAAGGTCGACATAGAAGTTCGCTAAACTTTCGCGCGCTGAATATCCACGGCGAAAACCAAATTGATTCGATGGTAATATACTATTACTTTCAATAAAGAACTCTAAACGCTGTTTAATTAATTGTTCGAATAATTTGCCTGCACAGGACGTCAATGTTATAGGTCTATAGGAGTCGAAATTTGTAGGATCTTTACCGGGTTTAATTACTGGAATCAAACAATCCATTTTCCATTCTGGTGGGATAATACAGTCCTTCCATAAATCGTTAAAAATTTGTAAGAGTTTAGTAAGGTTTATTTTATTCAGCAATCGAAACATATTGTATGTTAAGCGATCAAGGCCACTAGCTGTATCTTTTCTAGATTTTACTGCACTGGATATTTCATCAATTGAGAATGGGTCAGTGAGAAATTTTGGGCATGAATTAACAGAATTAAACTGTTTGTCATCAAAAGGTGAGTGTACAAAATCAGGAGTATATTTGCGTAAAAAATCATTGACCCATGATATATCTTTAAAATGATTTTGACGATGTTTTGAATTTAGTTTTCTCATATTATGCCAAACAGTGGAAATTGGTGTTAATCTATTAAATTTGGAACAAAATTCCTGCCACCCCTGTTGTCTTACTTGCTTAATTACTAACTTTTTAACAGCTTGAACTCTTTTAAAATTTATGTAATTATCGAGAGTTGGATTTTGTTTAAACCTAAGGTAAGCCGCTTTACTATCATTGACAGCTGTCGCACACCTGTTATTCCACCAAGGTACTGCAATATGTTTGTGCCTCTTTGAAGTATTTGCACCGCTATTTGATAAGTTCCTACGTGGAACGGAACGTTCCACAGCTGTCAAAATAATTTTACAGAACCTATTGTAATTGTTTAAGGGTTCATTGACATCATACTCGAAATCCAAAAGTAATCGATTAACAGTTTCAGAATAAAGATCCCAATTAACGAGACGTAGGTTTATACGATTTAACAAAAGTTTATTAACTTCATCTATAGGAGCATGTTGTTCACCTGACGGAGTTGATGAAGAGTTCTTTGTGTTTATTTTAGTAAAAGTCGGCAGGTGATAACTTCCTAACGGATCATCATGAACCGACCACTCGCATTTTAATGATATGGATGGGGATACCATAGTTAAATCAAGGCCATTGGGTCTCCAAATATGAGAGCCAACAGTAGTAACTTGCTTATCATTTAATAGTACCAAATTACATTCATCTAAACAATCAAGAATGTCTTTACCTCTTGTATTAGTGGAGGTACAACCCCACATAGTATGATGTGCATTTAAATCTCCAGATATGATAGTGGGTTTAGGAAGAGACTCCAAAAAGAACTTAAATTTGGCTTTAGTAAAACTAGGTGTACTATTGGTAGGACAGTAAATACTGGCAACTGAATACCAAGAATTATTAACTTCAATACTAATAGCTATAGTTTGCAAAGAATTGTCGAAAAAAGAGTGAAGTTTTTTATATCTAATACTATTATGTATAATAATCGCTACTCCATTGTGGTTATTACCACAATCATTTCGTTCTATACAATAATCTTTAATTTTTAATTTGTAATGTGGTTTTAGCCAAGTTTCTGAGATGAGAGCAATGTGAATATGATGTTCATTTAAAAATTGTGTAAAAATATGTCGATTGCTCAGTAGGCTCTGAGCGTTCCACTGTATGATAGTTAATTGGTCTCGATTGAATTTTGTGAAATAGGTCTATTACCAAAAGTATCATATAACACATTCAAAACACTTTTAGTGTTAATAGATGTGTTCTTTGTGTTATGTAGTGAAATAAGTTTGATTATGCTTTCTATTAAAAGTGATAAACTCTTGTTATCAGAATTTAGAATTGAAATTAGGTCTACATTTTTTTTAGGTTTGTTACCCAGTTTAGGAAATATTTCAGTGCTAAGTATATCTCCAAAAGAAGCAGGTCTGAATTTAGATCTATTTTCAGCAATTTTCTTTTGTTTAACAGGGCATTGCGGTGATACACTTGTGTGATTTCCATTGCAGTGTACACAAATAGCGTTTTCCATTCCAGTTGTACAAGTTTTATAATTATGCTCACCTTTGCAGATGCTGCAACGCTCAGAATTCTTACAGAATTTAGCTAAATGTCCATACCTCAAGCACCGGTAGCATTGTTTAACTGGTGGTATATATGGAGTGACATTGTGGCGCCAACCTCCAATATCCAGATATTCAGGTAATACAGATGCAGCAAAAGTAATTGTCACGGTTAGAGTTGGCTGTAACACATATCCATGAGTCAAGGTATTTTTTCTTAAAATTCTTTTAATAGCAATAATTTTCTTAGAACTCGATATCATAGTATATATTTTTTTATTAGATATATTTGTAGGTACATTTCTAATAACGCCTGTAACTTCTGTTGAAGAAGCAGGAATACTGGCCTTAAAATGGTAGTCATTTAAAAAAGTTTTATTATTTAAAAAAGCATTGGCTAATAGAGATGGGCAATCCACCTGGGTGGGTTTAAAGTCTGGTGGGTAAAAACCGGGTGTTTTGGGTTTATTGGGTTTAAACCCCATAAACACCCAAATTTTTGGGTGTTTATGATTTTGTACTTCATCATCGTCATCTCAGCCGCAAGACGTCCACTATACTGGACATAGACAATATTATTATGCAGCCTACAGAATAAAAAACTTTTAATTTGATTTTGAGTTTATTAAGAAAGAGATGAAAGTAAAATGTAAAACTACAGTCAATCACTGTCAGATTCAGAGTTATTACAAGCGATGAATTGTATAGGTTCGATAGGCTCTATTTCGTCTAAACTGTTATGTTCATTTACTTGCTCAATGAAAGCTTCTAAGGTATTTTCTTCATTAAACTGAATGTCCTCGCATTCAGCTTTATGTTTAAGATTCCAGTTATAACAAATGAATGAAATTTTTTCAGTTCTTTCAGTTGTAAGTCGATTTCTTTTGTTATTATGTATGTAGCCTTGGATACTAAAGGAACGCTCAGTGGCTGCCGAAGTACAGGGAGCTGATAGAATACGAATCGCTACTTTGCTTAACTCAGTGGAACCACAAATACCTTTCCACCATATTAGGGGCTCAATGCTATCTAATGAGCTCCATACAAATCCTCTGGCCCAAAAGTTTTCTTTAGCTTTATAACACGCCAAATCTGCCATTACATTTGACAAACTTAAGTGTTGGCTTAAATTGTAGATAAACTCCATACCCTTAAGTTCTTCCTCTTGAGTAAGTTCGACTCCTAGAGTCCTGGGGTCTAGAATATATGCTGCAAAATGTATTGGCCTCATTGCCATATTGCATCTTGAAGATACTGATGTTAGAATCTGCTGTTTGCTTTCTTCGCTCAATGTCGAAATCTCATTTAATGCAAAACGTATCTTAGCTTGTACATCTCTAAATGTAATGTATGTGCGATGCAAACGATTCTGGTCGCTCTCTAAGTAAAATATGCTTTCAGTGACTGGTTCCAAAATACTTATACATTCCCCTGTCTTCGTCCAGAAATCATCACTTAGAATTAAATCTTTAATATCTCTTGAAATTACCACATCTTCTCTAACTGTTAATATTTGCAAAGCTATCTTATTTGCTTTCAAACTTTTTAACGAAGTAACATGACTTCCCCATCTTGTAGCACAAGGCAATTTTAGTGTTTGTGTAGAATCTTCACCCTGCCTTGATTTTATCAACAAGGAACTTAATCGTTGACTCCTTTTAACAGTTTTTATTATATTTATGGCTTGCATAATAAACACAGTTACTTCTTGTATCTTTACAATATCTTGGCACAACAAGTTAAGGATATGTGCACAGCAACCGAGAGGAACAACATGTGGATATTTGAGTTTTGTTAATTCGAATGCCTTTTGTATATTTCTAGCGTTATCGCCAATAAGTACAAGAAACTTATTTGCTCCATACACTTTCATTACTTTTTCAACTTCTTGGCTAAGGTATTCACTAGTGTGAGGATTACTTTCTGTATTCAAACTTTTAACGTATGCAGGTTGAGGTTTTGATATAAGAAAGTTTATTATTCCTTCATTTCTTAAATTAGACCAGCCATCGCACTGAAGGTGTAAGTAACTACAAGCATTTAGTTCCTCATTTAACTCAAAACGCATTTCTCTATATATTTTATCTAAGTATTTTGTCGCTAAAGCTTTACGTGAAGGTATTTTAAATTTTGGTTGCAATTTTTCGAAAAATTGTATCCATAAAGGATGTTGCACCATCGATAATGGCGTCCCTGTTACAAATATAGCTCTCGCTAATTCTGTTTTTATATGATCATCGGTGTCTTGAAACTCAGCATTTATTGTAGTGTTAGCAGACGACGAGGGGCTTATAAAAGAATCATTTGTCTCTATCTCTGACAGTCCAGACATTTTGGTTTTGGACGAGCTATCTTTTATAAGTTTCATAGAGTCTTTTAATGTTTCTGGAGATTTTGGACAAGTGATAAGATGTTGAAGCATTTTGGCAGCATTACTGAATTTGTAGACCTTATTACAAAGCTTGCAAGAAACAGACTTGTTTGGTAAAGTACGGTAGTGCTCCCATATGCGTAAATCTTTAGGTTTCCCCATTGAACCTAAAAAAATGAACGATGATTAGTTGGTCTGACGAAAATTCAACAATAGAGTGCCTATTTTTTTACAATGATTATTTCTTGTTATTTACAATAAATTTATTAAAAAAATAATAAAATAAATACAAAAAGCCTTTGTAAAATTACATCTCCTCGGAGGATTAAACGCAGACGCTAGTTTATTATCGTATTGTTCTGTATTTTTCTCAGCAACTTCTTTAATTCGATTAGGTACTTACGCATATTATGTTAAAAATAAATATCTAGTACACATCTTAGGCTATCCACCATTATTATCCAATGACGACTCTCAGCTAACTATGCACTATCATCCAAAATAAACGTGTATGGAAAATTTTATCCCAGTCGGTTGAGGATTGAGGATAATTGCATCAACATACGAACATACCTACATACTTTTATTTACATAACGCAAGCTAAATAAAAGCTTGTAATAATACATCTAATTTTAAGTTAAAATTGTTAAGTGATCATGATATAATTGTATCATTCAAAAATCCACTTACCTTTAATTATTTCTTGTTAAGTATAAATATTATTTCAAATCTGCTCCCTTAATATGCACTTTTTTACTGCTTTTCCTACCTAACACGTTACCAGGAAGTCACGTTACCAGAGTCAGAGTAATAGTGAACACGTTTGACAGTGATTGTCGTCGCCTCATATTCAGCGTCGACGAATAGGGGAATCCCCAGTCATAATGTATTGCATGCGTGGCGGTCTTACTTCAAATCCATAAACAAAGAGATAATTACAGAACTCGATACTAGATGGCGCTGTTTTTGTTTGAAGAAAGTTTGCGGGCTAAAATACATAGAATTTCATCAATGACTTCCACAAAGAACAACATTTCTGTTTTTTCTAAGTCCGTATCTCTTCCGTATATTTCATAAGATATAAGCTTGGGCTACATTGTTATGCAACGTGATTTTGTCGCTGTCTTGCTAGCAGGGTTGACAGATATACGATTTAAATCGTACTCATACTATTATTTGTCTATTTTTTAATGTACGATCGTAAAGATTATGATCGTAATTCGCACAAAAACATACGACTTTTTGGTTACCTGGCAACATTTTTATTATGAAACGAACATGCTCACATCATCAGTCACATGCAACAATTTATTGGGGATTTCCCCTTCACATCTGGCAGTCCTGCTTGCTAGAATATAGGTAAGTCAGCCACAGTTACTGACGATCGATATTTAAAGGGTATTGTTTTTGTGCTAAATATTTCATAAAAACGTTATTTAATACTTTGTGGATTATTAATTTAGTTGATAATCACTGGAAGTAAAATGGATGCTAATTTGAGAGATCAAGATCTTCGTATAAAACAGTTAATAAAAGAAAATCTACGTAAGTACTCTTTTTATACCTAGGTAGGTAAGGTATAATAAACACAAAAGGTACTTAGATCGCGTGTGTTCGAAGCATTTATTCTAATAAATTTAATTTAAAATTGTAGAAAGAAAAAAATGTCTGCCAAGCCGTAGCCGAAGCCGATCTCCAAATATATTTGGCGATAGTGAGACCCAGTGTCCAGATGATTTACCCAGCGTCGTCGCAACAAAGAAAAAAACGAGGATAAAGTAAAAGAAAATTTACTGAAAGAAGAAACAAACTGTTCTAAATGCTTAATTTATGGAGAAGAGGATAAAAGAAATGAGTATTTCGGACTGTTAGTGGCTCAAGAATTTAAATATATACGACCATGTGTGCGAACGAGGTGTTATGAAGAAATTTTAAAGTATCTACGGGAAGCAAAAGGCCAACATGTTGATCAACTGCAACATGAAAACACTGAAAATTAATTACTTTCATTTTATTATATATAGATTTTTAAAATTTCCTGAAATATTATTAGTTAACGTTTTATTTAATATTGTAGAATTGATCAATACAATTTATAAAAATAATTTATTGGTATTACTTACATATTTTCAAAAAAATACGTAAAAACCTATTTTTTTGGGTGATTATGGGAGTTTATGGGTGTTTATTGGGTTTTTACCAAAGCACCGGGTTTAAACCCGGTGCTTTGCCCATCTGTATTGGCTAAGTCTGGCTTTTGAAAGTATACTCCGATTTTGAATTTATTTATAGATCTAAGATAAGTTACCCCTTTATTAAATCGTTTTAAACAGGAGGAGAGTGAGAGCAAGTCTCTGGATCCAATGGTTTTCTGACTATCTGAGGATTCTACAAAGACAACAAATTCTGTCCCAGGGGATTCCTCGGGATATCTTCTAATATAATCTGTGACGTAGTAAGGTTTATACTTATCGGCCTTATCAATTTCAGATTCTGAGTCAGTAGAAGTATCTTCCGAATATATATCCTTGTCATTACAAGGTTCATGGTCTACATCACCTGAATCGTCATCTTTTTTTTCCTTTTTCTACAACTGCGCTTCCCCATGAATGCTAATTATATTACTGTCGCTGAATTTAGTGAAAATATAATATTTTATTCAATAATAAGAATTGATAGAGATAGTTTTAATAAATTAATAAAAAAAAATTTAAAAAACCCGCTTGTTCTTATTCGAGTTTCCCGCCTTTTTTTTTTCCACTTCAATACATTTTTTTGACGTTTACTTTTTTAATTCTTTGCTTTTTAATATAATGTTTTAAAAGTTACGGCTTTAAATTCTTTGGTTACTATACCAATTTTTTATTATTAATATCTTTATAGCCAGTTTTTTTATATCTTTTATTATTCCTTATAAGAATATCTAAGTTTCAAATTAGAAGCAGCAAGCAAATACAGTAAATTTGTTCACATAAACTACATAAATATAGAAATGTATTTTCATTTTACTTGGGTCCCAGGATGAGAAAATACCACTTAAGAATTAGCTGTCAACAAATGCTGTCAAAATCATATGTCATTTTATACATTTCGATCCACTTCCTGTCGAATAAATGTCAAATGAAATTGAAAATGGTCTTCTAAAATTTTATTAGACCATTTTAAAAAGAAATCGCATTGTTTATAATGATTTACACGTTGATTGCGTAATGTTTACATTCTAATATAAGGATATACATCAGGAAATTGGTTATAGTTGATTATATTTTTCTGCAAGTACCGGTAGAGGTTATGAAATAGAAATCTCCAGAGACCTATTGGTTATGTTTGTGAAATAGTCTTTGCGGAGGAACTAAGAAAATTACGTAAACAATGTCAAGAATACTACACAATCGTATGAGGTGATTAAGTATAATTCTACTTTTATCTTTACTATTCACAATTATAAAACACCATTCAAAATTTTCAATTAGCAACATTTATGAGAGAGGTCTCAAGCAATCATAAAAATTAAACAGTAAAATTTTAACATTAAAGTGATTTATTATCCAATGATCTACGTTTCAAAGTCTAACTATGATAATTTCCGGTTAAGTTAAATACATCAATTAACTAATGTCTTTATAACTAAAGAAAAATCATCATTTATCTGTCATAACATAAACAAGTTTTACAAGTACTTAAATAATGTCAAATATAAATAAAGATTACATTATTATGACATTGTAATGTTGTTTTCTTTACTCATTTCTATAATCAAATTTTTAAATATAAAAAAAAAAAAATTACAGATCATCATTGAAAAAATCAGCAGCATGGTCCTGTGTAGACAAACGAGCTGTTGCATTCTCAGTATGGACCGGCCGTAGCATGCTACTGCAGAGACCAATAGACACAAGTCATGTACAGAAACGGAGATATGGCATGCTCGTCGCCAGGGCAGTGCGAGGGATGCTCAAGATCAGATATTTATTACTCGGAGGAGCTGTTGGAGGAGGCATGACTTTAAATAAGGTGATCAATCTAATAATTTATTTGTCTTTACAAGTTAGAAGATAGTTATTTTATTTCCACAAGTTTTTATTTAAACACAAGCTCTGTAAAAGTAGCAAAACTAAATAAACCACTTTTACATACAGTTAGACCTTTTTTTAGACAATTTATAAATTTAACCTTTAGGAATATAATAAATAATACAAACAGAAAATACAACTGTGAAAATAACTTTTATTTACTTATTCAATTAGTAACATTAGTTTTTACTTGATGCTGAAACAAATATACGGCAGAGAGAGTCAACGTTTCTACAAAATATTTTAGCTTCTATTGCTCTTGTTAAGACTGCTGCAATGTTTCTGAAATATCTCTCATGTATGCACGTCTTTTAATTACAATTTTATTGTTAGTAAGATATTTTACTACCCGTCTAGATTATTTGCTTTACCAATGCATTATTAAAGGTCTTATAATATCATTGTGTGGTTAGCGTAAATGTTTTCCACCAATTGCCAACAATCTCCAGTATCAACACATTTATTTTTTCTAGTTTCTGTGTTATTTTGACATAATTGAAATTGTTTTTCTATTTAAATATTCTAAGAAAATGAAGTAATTCTTAATTTTCATTAAATTATTTTATGTAAAATTTATTATAATAGTTATTCTGTTCTATACTGTTGTTGTTTTATATGTAATTTGTTTATATAAATAAATATTATAATTTATTACTATATTTGGCCATGGAGTATAAATATGTTTTCAACAAATGAGTCAAAAACAAATAAAGAAATGAGTAATTAGCCAGTGAACAAATATAATAATTAGGGAAGACTATATTAAACAATATGTATATTGTAAAAATGCTTTCTCTTAATTACATGATGGTGATATTGTTTTAAACATAGATTCTTTCTACTTGTATATCTAAATCAGGGGTTCCCAAACTTGTCTACTGCCCACTTTGAGAATAAATTATATTTTAACACCCCCATTTTTTCACCTACTTAAAAACCACTCAAGATCAACAAATCACTCCCCCAGGCCTCTACACATTGCCCCCTTTTTTTCTGGGTCTCTTACCGCCCCCCTTTAGGCCTGCAGCACCTACAAAGGGGTATTATCAGCCACTTTGGGAAAGGCTGCTCTAAATGTTATAAGTTTTTAATAGCTGTAATGTAATGTACCATATATTGGATAATAGATAAGGTGCTTTCATCATAATTTAATGGAGGCAAAGTCATGGGAAACAGCTAATACAACATAGGCTATATGATAATCCAAGATATTATAATCTATATATGTACCAAATTTTTATTAAAATTAGTTTATTAATTTGAAATGTGATTGAGTAACAAACATCTATACAAACTTTTACATTAAAAACTAGTAAGACAGTAAATTGAAAAAAAAAATTATTTTAGAAATATGCAGAATGGAAAGATGGCCTGCCAGATATGGGCTGGCTGAATGACTTGTTACCAGACAATGAACAGTGGGACAAATTCACCACAACACTTATCAGTGCGAAAGACACAATTGGAGACCAGCTGAAAATTGGTAAGTTATTATAAATTCTTGATTTTTTATTCTATAACTACCTTTTTACTAACCACTTTGCACGCATAGATTTCACAAAAAACCAATGAAATAGACTATTTTTAAATGGCATATCAAGATAAAATATATACCAGTTTCCAAGATAGATCTTTAGGAACATAATAATAAAAACTGCATCCAATTTGATGCAGCAGTTTTTTAGTAATGCTAGAAGAAACACGACTGGATATTTTTTTTTTATGTTATGATTTTGGTTTGTGTTATGAAAATCACTAATATTGATTGTTCATAAATATCTTCCATATACAGACATAGTTTAATTACAATTTTATTATAAATAATATAGACATATAAAACAATATAGTCCATAAATGTGGACAATCCAATAGAGATAATCCTAGCTTCTCAAAGCTTAGCAGCAATACACCGTCTCTCTGTTCTGTCATCATTAATAATTTAAAATAAATGTGAATGAATAAATTAATATGTTATTCATAATCATTATTTGTTTTTTTTTATGTATATGTATTCTAATAAATCATCTTCGCCATCATTATCATTATTAACATCCCACTGCTGGGTATGGGTCTCGATTAAAAGTTTGGTCATATTAGGCATGGGTAATACGGATATAGATCCGATATCTATATATTCAGTTCTTCTGGACACTGATGGCGGAAAAAAGGTCGTCACCCATTTCGATATCGCCCCCATGGGTTTGATATCTATTTTTTAATATCTTAAAAGTTATCCAATATTGTTTATATGAATTTTAAGAGAGGTAGGGCACAGCGGGATCTCGCTCATAAATGGAACCGCCCGCCTGGGGAAGGACCTCCACCTTGCAGAAGTTCGCAGCCAAACAACGCTGTTTTTATAGCGTTGTGTTCCTGCGGTGAGTAAGGTATCCAGTTCCATCTTGGGGAGGGGTTGTGCTGATATCGGAGGGACCAGCGTGTCTTAATACTATCTTTGTGCTGGGCAGACGCGAAGTGCTGACGCGGCGTTCAGGGAGACCCGGTGAAACGGTTGCTCGCTGGCCGCCCGCAGGTTGTTGGGTTCCCGAACCCAGGGATTACCTAATCTCCGCCCTGGGAGGCTGAACCGCCGCCTGTGCATAATCCCTGGTGTGGTAGTCGTGCCGGAGGAGGACGGAGTGGACCCGGCTACTACATCAGTGGGGGGACCGGGGGCCCTTCCGACCGCCGCGTCGGCAATTTGCACAACCTGTTTAGCGCAGGGACAGAGTGGACACCACTTTGTTCCTTTGATATCGGCACAATCTTTCCCTATTAACCTCCAAATACCCTAATACTTTATGGCCAGATCTAGAAAAAATAGACGTTACACAGCGGCACCCTCATCCACATTTAAAGTGGACTTCTGCAATATCAGAGGAATTCATTCTAACATCAACGCAATTCACTATCATCTCGAAACTGCGGAGCCGACTCTGTTATTCCTCACCGAGACGCAGATATCATGTCCGGCTGATACATCTTATTTACTATACCCCGGTTACAAACTCGAGCATAAATTTGCTCGTCATGCCGGGGTTTGTATGTATATCCGGACGGATGTCTGTTACCGCCGTCTCCATGGCCTTGAAGACAGAGACCTGTCAGTATTATGGATACGTGTGGATTACGAGAGCCACACTCGTATTTACGCGTGCCTTTACAGGTCTCACAGCGGTGATCTGGACACCTTCCGTCTTTTTGAGCACCTGCAAACGACGATTGATAAGGTTCTCGAGCAGTACCCTTCTGCGGAGTTAGTGATACTTGGAGACTTTAATGCTCACCACTCCGAGTGGCTTCGTTCTCGGTCCACTGACTGCGCGGGAAAAGCTGCTCATGAATTTGCTCTGACCTATGGATTCTCTCAGCTGGTCCATTCTCCAACGAGAATTCCAGATATAGAGAACCATACAAGCTCCTTGCTGGACCTTCTGCTGACAACACACCCGGATGGATATACCGTCAGAGTGGATGCGCCAATTGGCTCATCCGACCATTGTCTTATCCGGGCTGATGTCCCCAACACTCGACCTGATCCACCCCGTCCTATTGGACGACGTCGCGTGTGGCACTATAAGTCAGCAGACTGGGATGGATTGCGAGAATTTTATGCATCGTACCCGTGGAAGCAGCTCTGTTTTGCATCACATGATCCTAACGACTGCGCAATTGCCGTTAGCGAGGCCATCATTGAAGGTATGAAGCTATTTATCCCCAACCCGCTAGTGGCAATGGGATCGAAGAAGCGTCCGTGGTTTAACCGGTCTTGTAAGAAAGCCAGATTTGCTCAGCAAGCTGCATACAAGGCTTGGACTACGGCTCGCACTAACTCTGATCCTGGAATCAGTGATGCAAAGCGCAAATTAAATGCTGCTTCGAGGTCCAGTAAGAGAGTAATTGCCAGAGCCAAATTTGAATTTGTGGGCAGAATTGGTAGGCGACTATCAAGCCTTCCTTCTGGTAACCGTGCTTTCTGGTCGCTTGCTAAAGCTGCCCAAGGAAACTTTTGTCAGTCGTCTTTTCCACCACTTCGGAAACCGAATGGTAACTTGGCCTACAGTGCTAAAGAGAAAGCCGACTTATTTGGCATTCTCTTTGCCTCTAACTCGACTATGGACGAAGGTAATTCTGTACCACCTACCATCTTGTGTTGCGGAAGCTCCATGCCGGAAATTACTATAACACAATGTAAAGTCCGGCGGGAGTTACTATCCTTAGATGTTCATAAGTCGAGTGGGCCAGACGGTATACCGGCAGTGGTCCTAAAGCAGTGTGCTCCGGAATTGTGTCCTGTATTAACGCGTCTCTTCACGATCTCGTACTCCACAGGGCAATTTCCTTCGACATGGAAGACCACCCTTGTACATCCTGTACCTAAAAAGGGCGATAAGTCGGACCCTTCAAATTACAGACCGATTGCGATCGCTTCCCTTCTCTCTAAGGTGATGGAGCGTATAGTTAACGCACAGCTGTTAAAATACCTAGAGGATCACGATTTATTGAGTGACCGCCAATATGGCTTTCGCCATAGTCGCTCAACTGGTGACCTCTTGGTATATCTTACGCACCGATGGGCATCAGCCATTGAGAGTCAAGGTGAGGCGCTTGCTGTCGGTCTTGATATTGCAAAGGCATTTGACCGGGTCTGGCATCGGGGTCTTCTATCGAAATTGCCCTACTATGGACTTCCCGACAGCCTCTGTAAATGGGTCGCCAGTTTTTTATCCGGCAGACGTATAAAAACCGTTGTAGATGGTTGCTGCTCCGATAGCATGGATATTAACGCTGGCGTCCCGCAGGGCTCTGTGCTGTCCCCAACGCTGTTTCTACTGCATATTAATGATATGTTAACCTTCGGTAGCATTCATTGTTATGCGGATGACAGCACCGGGGATGCCCTTTATACGGGTCGTACCAATGTCTCCCGTTCCATCGTGGAGAACAATCGTGAACAGCTTGTGTCTGAAATCGAGAGAACACTAACTGGAGTCTCTGATTGGGGACGACAAAACTTGGTCCAATTTAACCCCTCTAAGACACAAGCTTGCGCGTTCACCGCTAAAAAAACCCCATTTGCTGTGGCCCCACAGTTCCAAGGCACGTCTCTTAACATCTCTAAAAGCATTGGGATCCTTGGTGTCGACATCTCTAGTGACGTACAGCTCCGTGGCCACCTCGAAGATAAGGTGAAGCTGGCATCCAAAAAACTCGGTGTGCTCAATAGAGCAAAGCATTACTTCACGCCGGATCAGCGATTAATGCTTTACAAATCGCAAATCCGGCCCCATATGGAGTATTGCTGTCACTTATGGGCGGGAGCACCTAGATACCAGCTTGAACCCTTCGACTCAGTGCAACGACGAGCTATGAGAATTGTCGATGATCCCATGCTTGCAAGCGGTATCGAACCCTTAAGTCTTAGGAGAGATTTTGCCTCACTCTGCGTGTTCTACCGCTTATACAACGGATTGTGCTCAGAGGAATTATTCAATATGATGCCTACGGCCACTTTCTATCATCGTACGGCTCGCCATCGGCAGGGAGTTCACCCTCATACCTTACAGCCTAAATGGTCGCGTACAACGCGGTTTCAGAGATGCTTTCTCCCACGAACACTCAGGTTATGGAATGAGCTCCCTGCCGAGGTTTTCCCGAGAGACTACAGCATGGGGTTCTTCAAAAGGGGGGTAAAGAGGTTTCTTCAGGGTCGGCAACGCGCGCGTAATACCTCTGGTATTGCAGGCGTTCATAGGCTACGGTAACCGCTTACCATCAGGTGGGCCGTATGCTTGTTTGCCACCTCAGTGGTATAAAAAAAAAAAAAAAAAAAAGAATAACAGACTTTTAACATGCCTATTTAAAAACCGAAGATTAACGAATTCACTGTGTTTTTGTCGTTTCCGACAATTTTTAACGATTTTTCACATATTCTTTATTGAACCGGTATACATAGATTTTTTTTTAATGAATGATAATGGAATAGTAACTTCGCCTGCGCTAACGGTATACACTGGTGGGGCACCAGTAAGGGATGATAGGTGACGATGAAAGCAGGTCAGTTAGCCCATTGTGATGAATTGCACTAGAATTAACCACGATGGTTTCCAGGGGGAACTACGTGGAGGTCGACGTAATAGGGTATATTGCTAGCAATGGGGCAGTTAGACCCCATTGCTAACAATCCCTTTTCCCCCTATATATAGATATTGTAACTGAAATATATAGATACTGCTATATATTACCCAATATATAATAGCCTATTATTACCACACAGGTTTGGTATAGAATTTTGTTATGTATTAAATAAATATACAATATAGAATGAAATAGAAATAACTTTTAATAAGTACTCATTTTATCTATCTTCACACCAACGTCCTTACGGTGTAGGCAGCAAGAACTGAATGCCTCTATTTTTATATACAGCTTCATAATTATCCTGTTATATGTAACAATAATTACTATTCTACAAAGCGCTTTATTATCTGTCTTATCTATGTATCTTCACGACAAATTACATATTATAGCATTGTGCAATAATTAACAGCATAATATCAACAGTTTACCACCAATATCTTCTAATATGGACAAAATTTTACAGAAAACAGAAAATGTTCTAATTCTGAACTTATTTCAAATATGATGAAACCAAAAAGTAATCTTTGACGTCCTTCGTGACGCAGTGGTAAGCATGTTGCGTTTCGTAAATGAGTATCTGGGTTTGATTCCTGATTGGGCCGATTTAAGAAATTAACTTTTCTGAATTGGCTTAGATACCCAGACCAGATCGAGCTAAGTCATAAAACTTCTAAGTCACGCCCAGCCTCATAACACAGGCTACACTAGCTTTCGGATCTGGCATAATTGTGTGTTAAGGAATGGGCAGTAAATGTGATTGTGTGTTAAGAACCGGGCAAGAAGTGCGATTATATGTTATGGATTAGGCAATATGTGTGATTATGTGTTACGAATCAGGCAATAAATGTGATTATGTGTTAAGGATGGGGCAGTAAGTGTGATTGTGTGCTGCTTAAAAAAAATTGTAATAAACTCTTAATATATTGAACTACTAAATAAATAAATCATAAAATTTATTTATTTATTTATTTCGAATTAGGCACACCAACAGTACACATATTATACATAAATTAAATAAAAATTTTTGTGTAGTATGCTGATATGCATACCTATAGCAGGCGTACACAACATTAACTACAGATTACATGCATCTATATTACATAGAAAAGAGATAAGTAAATTAGAAAAAAAATGTAAAATATCGCCAACATTCATGATTCTTAACACTTTTAAAGTTGACTGAGAGAGAATGCTTTTAGCACTAAGTCCGCCTTGTACTTGTATTAAATAATAAATAAATAAATGTCAATTAGTAGGTATTGGTGTTAAAATGTCGATATGCTATATCATACCAAATGCTCCATACAAATATGGAATGTAAGCAGATAATACCGATCGCTTTGAGTCTCATGTACCGTGCATGCACACCGGGCCGTAACTGGAGGCTGTGCCGCTAGGTGTCCCACTGACGCTGTCGGTGACCGCAGATCCGCGGCTGCGCGAGGCGGGCGCCGCCCGGGCCGCCGAGCTGCGGGAGTGGCTCTCGCAGCGGTACGAGGACGCCGTCGCAGCCGCCGCCACTAACACCTCCAACATCGGTCAGTATTCGATTTTCTACACTACTTTTTTTTTATTATACTAAAGTGGCAAATAAGCATACGGTCCACCTGATGGTAAGTACTGGTGAAGGGGGAAAAGACGTAAAAGAGGCAATCAACCTCAATTCTAGCAATATCCTCTATAATGTCAAACTCTACGCGTTCTCTGGTCAGTCTACCATGAGGACGTTCAAATATTACGTATTTATCCCCCATTTTGTTTGTGTTTGTGAATGAGTTCGTCTACCTAGGATCTCTTCTGACCAACGAAGGAGGAAGCGAGCGAGAAATCAGAAGAAGGACTCAAATAGCAAAGACCGCAATGAACAAATTAACGTGTATTTGGCAGAACAGAAAGATCTCAAATGTCACCCAAGACAAGATTAGACCGTACTCTGATTTTCTCGATATTTTTGTATGGAGTTGAGTCATGGACAATAAGAGCAATGGAGCTGAAAAAGATTAATGCTCTCGAGATGTGGTGCTAGCGAAGGATGCTGCGAATTCCCTGGACAGCAAAGCTCACGCACATATCTATCCTGACGCAACTCCGCATAAAAGATAGGCTCTCGACAGTCTGCTATCGAAGGATTCTTGGATACTTCGGTCATACAGCTCGACGACAGTCGGACAATCTGGAAAAACTAATGGCTGTAGACAAGATAGAGGGAAAAAGACCACGCGGACGATCGCCTAGTTGATGGTCGGACCAAGTAACCGCCGTTACGGGACTGTCAATTGCAGCTACCCTGCGAGAGGCTGAAGACCGTGCGAAATGGAACAACATCATAAGAGAGGCAACAGACACCTTTCAAGGACACGACCTTTAGTAATGTAGTGTGAATCATCATATCAGTTCTTAACCGTCCACTGCTGAACATAAGCCTCCCTCTTTAGGGGGGTTTTGTCAGTTACCACGCTTGGCAGGCGAATTGGCAATAGCAGTCAGGCTTTAGAGATGTTTTAAGAGGGACGCTGCTGCTTATCCCTCGCCGTAACTTAGTCGTCTCTTACGACACCCACGGGAAAAGAAGGGGTGGCTTATTCTATGCCGGGACCACACGACCATTTTCGTCGAAATGGGAGCATGATATCACCATAATGGTACTAGTCTACAATTACCTGTAGCTATCCCATCCGCGATTAGAATCGTGAGTATATTTATTTTATTGTTACCCATAGTACCCCTCGAGGGTTGCCATTCCTGAGGACTATGGTGTTATGTCTCTATACCCCGTAGTTTCATTTTTTATTATTATTAACCATGTAGGTCCCGGCATAGAATAAACCACCCCTTCCTTTCCCATGAGTGTTGTAAAAGGCGATTAAGAGAACTTAATGATCGAGGATTGGGCACCGACGTCCCTCTTAAAACATCACCAAAGCCTAATTGTGGCTGCCAACCAGTCTACCAGACGTGGCAACTACTGACATATAACCCCCCCCCCCCCCCCCCCCTCCATGGGGGATTTAGCAATGGACAATTAACGGCTGATATGAAAACGAGGAGTATATTTTTTGTCCTAATTTACATGCGACGAGCTGTAACTAATATAAAATGTATTAATCTTTTCAGAATCCTCCCCAAAGATAGTGAACAATTTGCAAAGCAAACCACAACCGGCCCCCAGTCGTTCGTCCAGTGAGGACGCCAGTACATACGGTCAGTTTCATAAATAATTTATTATCTATGGTTAGATGTAGTAAGTATTGTCTGTGGAGGACTAAGATGTTATACATTTGTACTTGAACACAATCTTAGGATACTTAGAATGCCAATCAAGATGCCAGAACACGTAATGGAAAACGGTAACCAGTGGCGTAACTAGGTAACCAAAAGCCCTGATGTAAAAAGTAAACCAGTCCAAGAATACCCCGATAATACGACGAATACCCCGAGGAATACGAAGTTCCCCCGTAAGTTTCAAAGATCTTCGAGACTTGTTGGGAACTTTCCTCTATTTTTTCAAATAAGTTGCCATTATTGAAGTAGCTTTCCTGGAATCTGGTTTATTTATATTTTGAATGTAAAATTTCAGTTTAATTTATAATTTGTAAGTCAGAGTCCAAGGGGCCTCCTGAGCTTGGGACCCCGGGGCACTGCCCCGTCTAGCTCTCAGGTAGCTACGCCACTGCCAGTAACTGGCGTAAATTATTTATTTTTTAGTATAAATATCAAACAAATTACATTAAAAACTCTCTGGGTCTTTATCCGCTTCTGTCCTAGTACAATTTCCTGCATTGTGACTTAATCGAATATAAAATTTAACAGAGAAACGTGTGCACGCACTCCAAGAGGAGGTATTGTCGCTGCAAGCCCGCTACCAGAGGGAGCTGCAGAGGCTCGAGCAGGAGAACAGGGAGCTCAGGCAGCAGAACATGCTGCTGAGGCAGGGCCGGCAGCCTTCCACCAGGAAGATGAAGGTAGTTTTTTCTGTTTTTAAAACAAGTCATGTTGCAAGACTATGAAATATAGGGGTGTGTGCCTTCCAGCCTATAGCCTCAAATTTTTCAAATGTATAGTGAAAAAACACTTAGCGAGTCGACATGATGTGTCTAACGATTGAGATTCGAACATGTATCTTTTCAGTTATATTCATGAAAAATATCTTTTATTATTATTAAAAAAAAGTTTTGCCTGCCGCTGCCACCCTTGGCAGGCGGCCTGGTAACCGCTGTTGGGCTTTAGAAATATTTTAAGAGGGACACTGCTGCCCATCCCTCACCTTCCCTTAATCGCCTCTCACGGCACCCATGGGAAAGGAAGGGGTAGCCCATTCAATGCGCGAAGGCACACGGCTGTACTAACTACCACGTGGTCGGCAGCGGTCGCTGATCGACATGTACTCGGCGGTGCTGGACGAGCTGTCGGGCTGGGACGCGGGCGACACGGACCGGCTGCCGCGCGTGGTGGTGGTGGGCGACCAGTCGGCCGGCAAGACCTCCGTGCTCGAGATGATCGCGCAGGCGCGCATCTTTCCGCGCGGCGCCGGCGAGATGTGCACCAGGTACCCTCATACCCTCACAGCCTGTCACCTGACCAGACCGCTCGATACCTTTGGTAGTTAATAAGCTGGAAAATATTGGCATCAGGGGTGTCGTTCTCTAGAAATCTGTCCGAAAAAGCATACGAGTATGCGACCCTGGCCTCCCGAACCTCTGCAGTGTCCCAGTCCTTTCCGCAACTGCAGTGTCCCCCCCTTTTCTTTCCCAGATAAATCCCTTATTCCTCTCATTTACTATTTTCTTTCCGCATTTCCAACATTCCCTTCCTTTTTTTCTCAATCCTCTCCTCCATACCATAGGTGGCGAAAACCACCAACAAATGCATTCCAAAAAAGGGTTGACGTCAGGCAGGTGGCCGGTCGTAAAACTATAAGCCAAATCTTTTTGTAATATGGATAAAAATATATTATGCTGACTCCAAATAACAATTGGAATAAGGGTAGGAAGATGATGGTTAATGGGATATAAGATATGCAACTGTCCTTATTTAAATCGTACCTTATGATCATTCTAAATGTGTAAAAATTGTTACTCTTACTTGTTCCTACCAACTAGTTACTTATAGAGTTCCTCAGGGTAACATACTAGGTCCAAGTCTATTTTGACTTACACTAATTTTGTTGCCTCAAACTCGAACATGGTAGATTTTTTATGTGTATGATACTGCATTAATGTTTACATCTAGTAACTGGTCTGATGCCTTTCAGTTAGCTCAAAAGAAATGTAACTATTTTTTTGCAGGTGGCTTAATGATAATCTTTGACCCTTAACCTTAATAAAACTAAATTCAAGAAATTTTCCGTACCTAATTCTAGTAAACCAATACCCAAAAAATATAAAATTCAAAGAACTTTTATGCAAAGTCCCTCTCTGACAAAATTAATACCCACTTTCTACCATTTTTCCTTTATATATTCCATTAACTATGTTGTATTAATATAAAATATGTATTTACAGGGCCCCAGTAAAGGTGACGCTGTCAGAAGGCCCCTACCACGTGGCGCAGTTCAGGGACTCCGCGAGAGAGTTCGACCTCAACAAAGAGTCTGATCTTGCTGATCTGCGCAAGTAAGTGTACTTACAACTGTGGTTTAATTTTGGTGTTTTATGATGTTTTAAGAGGGTTGCCGCTGACCATCCCTCCACCATAAGCTCTCTTAGCCGCCTCTTGCTACATTCGCAGGAAAGGAAGGGGTGACCTAACATATTCTCTGCCGGGACCTACACGGCTACTTCGGTGACAGAATGTCAATATTAAATGGCATACAATTAGCTAGCCTCGGTTACACAGCGCGGAAGATCCGTCATTACATCGAGGTAACAGCGTGTCACACTTGCTTTCCACAGAGAGGTGGAGCTGCGCATGCGCAACAGCGTGCGCGGCGGGCGCACGGTGTCGGCGGAGGTGATCTCGATGGCCGTCAAGGGGCCCGGCCTGCACCGCATGGTGCTCGTCGACCTGCCCGGTGTCATCTCCGTGAGTCTTGTCTCCCACTATCATAAACCCCGATTCACACATTTATGAATCCCCTAAACTGAGTCATCCATCACCAACATGCCGACTGTGAACTGTGTGACTGTGACTGTGAAAACAAGTGGCAAACATCCGGCTAGAAGGACCACAATATATGGACCTCTAGGACTTCGTATAATTAGCGATAATAAATTATTATTATTAATATTATCCGTAACAAATTCATTTTTATCTCTAAAAAAAAGTGTTTTAATACATACTTTACTTGCATACACCCACTTTAACTTGCCTACCTTGCTTTGGAATCAAAATTTTTGTTTGTATAAATAAAATAAATTTATATATATATATATATATATATATATATATATATATATATATATATATATATATATATATAATCTTTATATGTTTCAGACCCAAACGGTAGACATGGCGAGCGATACACGTGACGCCATCAAGCAAATGAGCAGGCAGTACATGGAGAATCCAAACGCTATCATTCTATGCATACAGGTACTGCCAACTGATAGGATCTAACTATATCCAGTATATACTGTACTAGTCCTTCGTTATACAAACTACTACTGTGCTTCGAAAAGTAAAACTGATCAGAATTTATTTTGTTTATACGCCTACCTTGTTATAAAATTGAATGACCTTCTTGTCTATCTCACTCTAACGTGCATGTTATTAAGTTTTTTTTTTTCTCTTTTACATTTTATATATATATACGGTTGACTCTATTTAAGTAATTTTTTAATGTTTGTAATAGCCAGATTTCTAAGGTTTTCATGGAGAGAAAATATATTGAAATTTTAACAAAAAAGTCACTTTGGTTTACTAATTTTAAGCAGCTACTATATTTTTTTTATACTACAATGAAGAAGATAAATCAAGCATACAGCCGGTCTGATGGTAAATGGTTACTATATAATATTTAATACTGGAAATGGAGTACAATCCTTAATAATATTATAAATGTAAAAGTAAGTTTGTTTGTTACCTTTTAATTACTTAACTAAAGTAAACTTAAGTTGTTTGCTTGGGTACTTCTGTCCTATTCCTGTTTCAACCGTGAAGCAGTTGTGTTTCCATGGCTGTGTTTCGGCTTGAAGAGTGGGATATGGCAGTGAATTTACAAGGTACAGAGGAATAACACCTGAGTCCTCAATAATGGCAACGCATGGAGGCGACGGTTACCAATTTCCATCAGGTGGACCGTCAGCTTGTTTACCATTCTAAGTTGTATAAAAAAAATGGCTTGGCTAATTTTTATAAAATTTGGTCTACACATATATGAGTATGGGATAAAGAAGGATAGAGGCAACTTCTTATCCCAGTCAGTAAATATATTCCTGTCACGCAGACAAAGTCACAAATAAAAGCTAGTAGTTAATAATGAATGTACTCCAACAGGATGGGTCAGTGGACGCGGAACGCAGCAACGTCACCGACCTGGTGTCCTCGTGCGACCCTCAAGGCAAGAGGACCATCTTCGTGTTGACGAAGGTCGACCTCGCTGAAGAGAACCTCGCTAACCCCAACAGGGTAACTATTCCATCGTCATTACTGACGTTCATTATTTTCAGCTAAACATTACGGGTGTCACGAGGTATAATGGGCGAAACAGTATACTCTGTTATGTCCATGGTACTGCTCATGTCTATAGGCGACGGTTACCACTTTTCATCAGGTGGGCTGTCAGCTTGTTTGCCGTTCTAAGTTGTATGAAAAAACATATATCTGTCATAGATTATATGGTAGTATCCTAACTCACATGTATATGTCAACTCTATCTATCTCCTACACTTTTCATTTATTTATTTTATTTAATACTTTATTGTACATACTAATAATACAGAAAAAATATGACAGACGTAATCAAATGTACAAAGGCAAGCTTGACTCTAAAAGAGTTCTCTTCCAGCAAACTTTTTCGCTCGCATTATGCAAATGATAGGATAGTGTTAACAATTTTGCAGTTTTTACTGTGAAAGAACTCACAATCGTTTATTTTATTCTGCTATTAATCTATGGTATCGAGGTTTTCCCAAGAGGCTACAGCATGGGGTTCTTCAAAAGGGGGGTAAAGAGGTTTCTTCAGGTTTAGCAACGCGCGCGTTATACCTCTGGTATTGCAGGTGTTCATAGGCTACGGTAACCGCTTACCATCAGGTGGGCCGTATGCTTGTTTGCCACCTCAGTGGTATAAAAAAAAAATGGTAATCCACAGCTGAACAAAGGCCCCCCCTACCCCCATCTTCTTTCAAGTCTTGTGATACGCCACCTCAAACCAATCAATTTTAAACACGTGTATTTCAATCGTTTATATATAGTTATATACTTTTTTTTTATACAACTTAGAATGGCAAACAAGCTGACGGTCCACCTGATGGAAAGTGGTAACCGTCACCTATAGACATGAGCAGTACCATGGACATAACAGAGTATACTGTTTCGCCCATGATACCCCCATGTGTTGCCATTCCCGAGGACTCAGGTGTTATTCCTCTGTACCCAGTAAATTCACGCCATATCCCACCCTTCAAACCGAAACACAGCCATGCAAACACAACTGCTTCACGGTTGAAACACGAATGGGACAGAGGTGCCCAAGCAATCGACTTTTGTACAAAGTCTCCCTCTGGTAATTATATACATCCTGTCCATTCTACTATTTTTACTCGTTACTCAACTAGAGTGAAGACTAGGCTGAAAAAAGTATAGTTCTGTTTTTCCTTACCCTTTGCTTACCCTGTAGGTGAAGGTAAAAAAGCTTACTCTAAAAAGCTCTACATTTATTGAGCTATTTATAAAAGTATAAATACAGTTAATATTAATGAGAAGTGATATAAAAGGCGGCCTTATCGCTAAGCAATCTCTTCCAGAAAACCTTTAGGTGGAGTACATTGGGAAAAAAGGCAAAAGGTAGGTTATTGATGGGTGAAAATGGTATGGTAATCCCGCCTGCGCTAACGGGATACCCTGACGGAGCACCAGTGAAGGGTGATAGATGAGAATGAAAACAGGCCAGTTAGCCCATCATGATGTATTCATAAGGAATTAACCATGATAGTTTCCAGGGGGAACCGCGAGGAGGTCGACCTGGTTGGGTATATTGCTAGCAATGGGATTCTCAGTCTGTAAAAGGTAGGTTAACTAGGCTTACTGTATAACTAGTAAGTTAAATTCAACCCACATAATTTTATTGTGACAGATACGTCGAATCCTCGAAGGCAAACTGTTCCCGATGAAGGCTTTGGGTTACTACGCGGTAGTGACGGGCCGCAGCAGGAAAGACGACTCCATACAGAGCATACGAGAGTACGAGGAGAGATTCTTCCGTTCTTCCAAGCTGTTCAAGTAAGTAATCATACTGTGTGTGGTGTAGATCAAACTAGATCGAACCAGATCAATCTAGCTTGAAACTTTTATTAATTGATTTTATAACTGATATTTTTTTATGAAACTTAGAATGGCACACAAGTTGGCAAGTCACCTGATGGAAAGTGGTAACCGTCGCCTATAGACATGAGTAGTACCATGGACAACAGAATATACTGTTTCGCCCATGATACTTCCCATGCGTTGCCATTCCTGAGGACTCAGGTGTTATTCCACTGTACCCTGTAAATTCACTACTATATCCCACCTATTTTATAACCTATTTTAATATTATATATATTATTATCATTATATATTATAACTATTATTTCTAAATACCTGAACAAATTTGGATACATAGAATCTTTAAATTTTTGTAACGTCTCAAGTGACACTCGCTGAAGATATTTTTTTTTTAATATTTTGTATAATAAGAGTATATTTATTTTTTTATTTGTGGAACAACATGTATTTGCAATACGTTTTACGCTGTCACGTTGTATAATTTATGGTTTATGAGAGATGGCATGTCCACCTTCAGGTAAATTATTTCATCAACCAACTTAAAAAAGAAGGAGGCATTTTGAAGGTTGTATTTTTTTACTACATAATTCCATCATCTGAAAGGGTATGCTTTCAGATCCATGTTAATTGTAAAACTAACTGGTTTTTTCACGATTAAAATATTTTTGTGTTGTTTTTTGGTGGGCAGGGACGGGCTGGTGACGCCGTCGCAGGTGACGACCCGCAACCTGTCGCTGGCGGTAGCGGACTGCTTCTGGCGCATGGTGCGCGCGTCCGTCGAGCAGCAGGCCGACGCCTTCAAGGCCATGCGCTTCAACCTCGAGACCGAGTGGAAGAACACCTTCCCCAGGTCACTGCGCCGCCTGCATTCACGTCCCACCTGCGATCTTAACTCCTTGTTGAGTTTTTACAAAAAAAACTACCCCTCATGCGTTGCCATTCCTGAGGACTCAGGTGTTATTCCTTTGTACTCTGTAAGTTCACTGTCATATCCCACCCTTCAAACCGAAACACAACTATGCAAATACAACTGCTTCACGGTAGAAACACGAATGGGACAGAGGTGTCCAAGCTAACGACTTTATGATATTTTAGACAATGCACACGGGAATCGGGGATTCTGGAGAAAAATCTCTCTCATCAATTAATTTTATCACTTACAACCAAATAACCTTGTTTATAATCGCGTAGATGATTACTACGCTATAAGGAGAAAGAGGACTGCATCATTGCTACACAGGGTTAGGACAAGCACCGACAGCCTTCTAAAAGTAATAGGCGAGAAATATAACTCGCCTGTAATTGGGCGTTTCATTCAGATGCTGTTCTAGTCGGCTGGCTCACATCTGAGTAAACTGCTTTAATTAATTTGCTTTTCTTTTTTACTAACACAGTTTGTAAGAAAACTGTTACTAACAAAATGGACCAAACTGTAGTCTGAGTAATAAAGTATATTATATTCATTTGTAGCAAATAATTTAATTGGTAATATTGCTACAGACAGCGCGAACTAGACCGCGACGAATTATTCGAACGAGCAAGAGCCGAGCTACTGGATCAATCGGCCGAGCTGTCGGCGCTGCCGCCGGCCGCGTGGCAGCAGCGGTTGCAGCAAGCCCTGTGGTCTGCTGCAGCGGCCAAGGTCTTCGAAGGAGTCTACCTGCCGGCTGCGGCTGCTGCGCACGACGACGTCGGTCAGTATAGATTGTTCTATATCTTTACTCTATATATATGTATATATTGTTTCTGCCTACCCTAATGGGAGACAAGCGTGACATATATATATATATATATATATATATATATATATATATATATATATATATATATATATATATATATATAATAAAAAAATCATTATCATCACATCAGCCTTTAAATGTCCACTGCTGAATACAAGCCATCCCCTCGGGGTGTTTTGCCAGTAATTGCCACGCTTGGCAGGTGGATTGGCAACCGCAATCAAGCTTTAGAGATGTTTGAAGAGGGACACTGCTGCCCATCCCTCGCCCTCCCTCAGTCGCCACTTACGACACCCACGGGAAAGGAAGGAAGGCCTATTCTATGCCAGGACCACACGGCCAAGAAATAATTACCTATAATCTCTCCTGATATCCTGTCACACCATCCTAACCTAACGTTTATCCTATCTCCTATCTAGCCCGCGCCGTCCCTCGCAAGATCAAGTACCAGCATGCATCTAACGGTACCACGATATGGTTGGACTCCTTCGACATTGACTTTAGTGAGACATCCTTTATACTAAATACTATAAAAGATTAGTAATGTAAAAAAAACGGATCAGTGTTACATGTATGTAATTTAGAATAAATTAGGTAAATATCTGTGGTGGGTAGGTCTGGATCTATCTGGTTAAAAATATATGTCTTCTATGACAAATAATATTGCTTCATCGTCATCTCAGCCATTACCCGTCCACTGCTGGACATAGGCCTCCCCCATAGACTACCATAAAGAACGGTCCTGAGTCATCTGCGTCCACTGACTCCCTGCAATGCATTTCAGGTCGTCACTCCATCTATTGGTGGGTCGTATAAGTAATAGTACTGCTTACGCAATATTATTTATTTATTTATTATATACTTTAACATGTCATATTCTCTTTTTTTCATGGACAGGATCTCATAGTCTATGATCTATGTTTCTTATAGTCTATGTTCTTATATAAAATGTAACCAGGATTGTCTATGATTCAAGCTCTCTTCCATTCACGCATGATAAAGGAAACGTGTCACTGCAATTTTGTTTCAAGTATTCAGTAAATTATAAAGACAAAATGCACTTTGATATTTTAATATTTATCTATATACAGGTGAATTAAAAAGCACCTTTTTAAGGCAGTGTTCTACCTGCCTTTATCGTCATCATATCGGCCATCGGGCCATCAACTGTCCATAGCTGAACGTAGGCCTCCTCCTTGGGAGTTTATCAGTAATCGCCACGCTTGGCAGGCAGATTGGCAATCGCAGTTTGTTTTTAAATCAACAACTGGTTTTGTCACAATTGAAGTCTTTTTTTTTGTGGTGCATAATCTTTAATTATTAAATGCATATTTGCACGCTAAAAAATTATTAGCGTCATTTTAAAGGACTACTCTATCAGTAAAACTGGACTATTTTCCCCAAAGAAACTTGGATTGGAAATGGATTTTGATTCTCAGTTACTAACGTGACGCGTGCAGCTGTTTAGGAGTACAGTGTTAGTATGGGATTTTTTTTTTCTTATTTTTTTATAATATAAGGGGTACCCGAGCATACGGCTCACCTGATGGTAAGTCACTACCGCCGCCCATAAGCACTCGCAACGCCAGAGACATTGTAGGTGTGCTGCTGGTCTTTTAAAAAGGAATATGCTCTTGAAAGTTACGATGTCGTATCAGTTTGGAAATACTGTTGCTGGCAGATTATTTGAAAGCGTAGTTGTGGTTCGTAATTTGTTTAGTTCCTGAAATTTCTCTCGTTCTATTTACTAGAATTTCACGTACGACCAAGGGTTTCGATTTAATCTATATATCTCTGTGATATGTGCAGACAAATTCAACACGTCAGTGGACATAAAGCTCCGCGAGTGGGCGGAGGGCGAGCTGCCGCTGCTGTCGATCGTGGCCGGCAGGGAAGCCCTGAAGGAGGAGTTCACGGAGCTGATGGCCCGCGGCGCGGACTCGGACCCGGTGTACGAGCCCGTCAAGCGCGAGGCCGTCGACGAGGCGCTGCGCAGGCATCACTGGGAGGAGCGCGCGCAGGACGTTCGTTTACGTATTTGTTTTTATACTACTTGCTACCTACGACTTGGCATACGTCTCGTAATCTGTCTTCTCCAAATCAAAAAGTAATTTTATGGCGCCAAGGATAACATATTTCCATTTAAAAACCAATTGCTATTGCTAATTCGCTGCGTCACACTACGTCACTGCCCCACTACCGCTGCCGCATGGCATGTCGTGCGTCACACTACGCTACTGCCATAGTAGCTTCTACCCACGACTTAGATCATGTAACCTATATATGTTTACTAACAGGGATAAAAAACAGCCTAAACTCCTTTCCATTCCTATCATATCTTTATACTACATTTCATTGTGATTGGTTAAAACTTTAAAATGTTAAAAGATAATAAATAAATTTAAAAAAACTCATTTAAATATAATATTAGTAAAGATGTTAAAGTGAATTTATTTGTCTTACACAAAACACAATGAAATGTAGTATAAAGATATGACGGGAATGGAAAGGGGTTTAAGCTATTTTTTATCCCTGTCAGTAAATTTATATAGGTTACATGATCTAAGTCGTGGGTAGAAACTACTATGGCAGTGGTGTAGTGTGACGCGGCGACATGGTATGGCGCAGCGGTAGTGTCGCGGTGACGTAGTGTATCGCGGCGAATTAGTAATCACAGTTTGTTTTTAAATTAAAATAACTGATTTTGTTACAATTGAATAAGTTTTTTTTTTCTTTTTTGTGGAACGTAATCTTTAATTGTTTAATATATATTTGGCTAAAATATATATTGGCGTCATTTTAAAGGTAACAATAAAACTGAATATTTTCAACAAAGCAACGTGGATTGATGTTTATGTCGCGGTGACATAGTGTGACGCGGCGACATGTCACGCCGTAGCGGTAGTGTCGCAGTGACGTAGTGTGACGCAGCGATGTAAGACGCCAGAGATGTAACAGTGTGGACGTGCAGGTGCTGCGCGTGCTGCAGCTGAACGCGCTGCAGGACGGCTGCGTGGGCTCGCGCGCCGACTGGGACGACGCCGTCGCACTCATGGACACCGCGCTGCGGGAACGACTTGCACAGACCGACCACCAGCTCAAGGAGCTCACAGGTCGGTGGGGAACTGCCATTAATCATAACTATTGTAATCCCACTAACGCTACCAGTATGCTCTGGCCAGGCTTTAGTGAGAGACGATAGGTGGGAATGAAAACATGTCAGTTGGCCCATGGTAATGTTTTCCATAAGAATACAAACAGTATACTCTGTTATGTCCATGGTGCTACTCATGTCTATAGTCAGTAAGTAAACACAACTGCTGCACGGTAGAAACACGAATGCGACAGAGGTACACAAGCAATCGACTTTTGTATTAAGTCTCCCTCTGGTGAGTTTTCTTGTCTTGTCTTTTGTTGTAATGAAATTGTAATAATTATATATTACTTACAGAATTATAACTTAATAGGTATACGCTAGTAAAAATTGTTCGTTTTTAAATGAATGAAGCCGTCACTACTAAGTTAAGAGTGGTAACATAATTTTTAAAGGTGATATTAGCTTGTCAGTTTACTGCATCGAATCGAAAAGTCCGACCATAGACAATTAATTAAAATTTCAAGTTATTATTCGCGTCCACTTTAACTGAAAACACCACATTCCAGGACCGGGCTTCAAGGAGCGCTGGCTGTACTGGCGGTCTAGCACGGAGGAACAGAACCGCCGGGGGGAGGTCCGCTCCGAGCTTGAGCGTCTCGGGTGCACGCGGCCGACACTCACGTACGACGAGGTGGTCGCCGTGCGCGACAACCTGCGCCGGAAGGGCATCGAGGTCGACAACGACTACATCAGGGAGCTCTGGAAGCCTGTCTACTTGAAGTAGGTCTTCGTCATACCCGGGAACGGAATGTTACTTGTAAAGACTTTTTTTAATACAATTGAAGCTCCCAAAGCAAGCTCGCGGTGCAGCGTACGATGCATAAACGCTCGAGGAGTTAATGAAATAATAAACAAATACTGCGGACCTACTGTTAATGATATATATTTTATATTCCAGACATTTCCTGCAGAAAGCGCAGACGAGGGCTCGCGATTGCAAAAAGAGCTTCTACCTGTACAGTCAACAGAATGGAAATGGAGTGAGTCATACATACATACATACATATCTGTCACGCCTGTCTCCCATTACGGTAGGCAGAAACAATGGAACGCCAAATGCTTCGATTCAAACAAACCTCTTTCGCTTCTTCCACATTCATCAATCTTTTCATACACGCTCGCCGGTCACGGGTACTTTTGGAGCGAGTCAATATTTATCTATCATCACACCTGCTTATATTCAGGGCGTAACAATAGGGTGGCAGGGCTGGCAAAATGCCACGGGCCCCCGATCCAAAAGGGCCCCAGCTCAAGAGGCCACGAACTCAGAATTTTTTTTTACATTGTACCTGAGTATTTTATTTTACTTGAAAGTATTTTTTTTTTCTGATAGGGCCCCATCAAAAAAATTTGCCAGAGGCAACATACAATGGTATAGTTACGCCACTGATTCAGGGATATTTATATGTAATATTAAAAAAAACTTTTTACAATTGTATAATATATTCCTTTGGCTGATATTGTTAAGATGACTCGATGCGGTTTGTGGAGGCGGTACTTGTAAATAACGAGAATAATTCAAGATATAAAATGTAAACTTGTATATTGAATAGACTGGCTAGCACAGAGGCTGTATCGCGAGTGTGTATAAGATAAAACATTCAAGTTACGTTGATTACCAGAGGGAGACTTTGTACAAAAGTCGATTCGAGTCGACCTCTGTCCCATTCGTGTTTCAACCGCGAAGCAGTTGTGTTTGCATGGCTGTGTTTCGGTTTGAAGGGTGGGATATGGCGTGAATTTACAGGGTACAGAGGAATAACACCCGAGTCCTCAGGAATGGCAACGCATGGGGGGTATTATGGGCGAAACAGTATACTCTGTTATGTGCATGGTACTGCTCATGTCTATAGGCGACGGTTACCACTTTCCGTCAGGTGGGCCGTCAGCTTGTTTGCCATTCTAAGTTGTATAAAAAAAAAAAGATTAATTTGGGTCACTTACAAATTAGAGGGAACGGTGCAAAGTTCGCTTTGGAATTATGAATAATCATTGTGCAATATTACATTTGTAGGCACAGTCCCTTAATTTATATAGATAGAGTGTCGTCATAGAAATGCTTTTAGAAAAACGGCGCAACTTTTCGTACCACTTTGCGCGATAAACAGTTATGAGTGATTCCTTTGTACTTTCTATATTTATTTTGTCTTATAATTTCTGCATTTTTTTTATGCGTCAACACACATTTTATTTATTTAATATTGTGCCAAGATATTTTTTTTATGCGTAAGTATACTGATAAAAAACTAGTTAGCTAACTTGACAATTAGCTGACAAAAAGTTGACCCGTTTTTGAGGCTCGATACTCTATGTATATAATTTAAATATACTTCATAATGCAAGCATAGCAACTACTTGCAATACCCCACAAGGGGAGGCCTATGTTCGGCAGTGGACAGTTAAAGGCTGATATGATGATAAGTAAGTGGTGCCGGCTGTCCCCAGAAGGAGTGCTGCGAGGTGGTGATGTTCTGGCGCGTGCAGCAGACGCTGCGTACGACGGCGGCGGCGCTGCGCCAGCAGATCGGCAACAGGGAGGCCGCCCGCCTCGACCGCGACCTGCGGGAGGTGCTCGACGAGGTACGGCCGAAACCGTCGCCACACATAGATTTTTTTTATACAACTTAAAATAGCAAGCAAGCTGACGGCCCGCCTTATGGAAAGTGGTGACCGTCGCCTATAGACATGAGCAGTATCATGGACATAACAGAGTATACTGTTTCGCCCATGATACTCCCCATGCGTTGCCATTCCTGAGGACTCAGGTGTTATTCCTCTGTACCCTGTAAATTCACTGCCATATCCCACCCTTCAAACCGAAACCGATAGATAGATGCTCTTTATTGCTTCCTCTATAAAATTACAATAGTAAACTTATTATAGATACAAACAATTACAAGAAATGATCACAGTGAGAAAACTATAGGCGACCTTATCGCTAAGAGCGATCTCTTCCAGGCAACCTTTGGATGGAAAAAACCAATTTAAACAGTGCTCTTTTTTAATGAGTGAAAATGAAAGTGACCCAGTCTGAGTTGAAGGTGTGTACTGACTGGGCACTAGTGAGGGGTGATAGGTGAAGATGGAAGTAGATCAATTGGTACATCATAGCGAATTCAACAATAATTGCCCACGACGGTTTCCAGGGGACCTGTTAGGGTATATTGTTAGCAATGGTGCAGTTAGAATCCTTTACTAACATTTATTTATTTATTTACACTTTATTGCACCAAGTAAAAAGAGAAATAACAAATACAGTAAATATTAATGAGAAGTGATACAAAAAGCGGTCTTATCGCTAAGCAATCTCTTCCACACAACCTTTGGGTAGAGGACATTGAGAAAAAGACAAAGAGTAGGTGGCGCACTATTATATAAATATTATCATATACAAACATATATAGATACATACATACATATATACACATACATATATAATATATACACAATTAAATATATACATAACATACACATACTTAACAGCACACATACAACAGAAAAAAAAATTACGAAGGAAAACGAAGAGAGAACACAGGAAAATAGTACTAAAGTGAGAGGTAGTAGGATTTAACAGAGGTTTTGAAACTAGTAAGAGTTTGAGCGTACCGAATAGAGGCAGGTAGTGAGTTCCATAGGCGAACTGCCTGAACAGTAAAGGATTTAGAATAAAAGGAAGAAGAATGAGTGGGAAATTTAAGTCGGAGGTTATTGACACTGCGTAAAGTATGATCATTAGCCTCACTGAGAAACAAGAATCGATCTTTTAGATAACATTCCCTTTCTCCCCAACAATCGTAGTTTATTCCACATATGTTCATCACAATGGATTAATTTTTCTTCACTCATCATTCACTGGTACCCTGTCAGTGTATACCTATAACACAAAAGGGACTTTCATTCCATTTTCATCAACAGTGGATTGTAATGGAATGGTAACCACATGGAAATTGTTGCATGCTGGAAAACCAGTGTGAGAAGGCTGGTCAGTTGGCCCATCATGACAAATTCACCAGAACTGTTGTGAAAATACAGCTCTTATTTTTTTTTTAACAAATATTCATATTTTTTTTTTTTGCAATCAATATAGTTAATATTAAGCAATTGGCCAATTAGTAAATGTTGTTTTCTTTTCAAGATGGCGTCTGATCCAGAGATCAAGAAGAAATTATTATCAGGAAGACGAGTGGAGCTCGCCGAGGAATTAAGTGAGTGTTCAAAACAATATTCTATTAATAACAAATTGCGTAATGCTATATAATCAATAAAAATAATAAATATATATTTCAATTCATTATTAAATTATAATAAAAAAAATTCACCATAAGTAAATAGACTAGTTTTCTTTTTATAACTTTTTTTTTATTTAATAAATATTTTAAACATGCAACACTTCTATAAGGGTGTCTCATCTATGTGTACCGTCAAGCAGCTTGCTTGAGTATCGTATTTCGATTTGGAAGTGCATGGTGTTAATCCAGTTTACTGTTGCCTATGGTACTGCCTATGATGGTAAACCACCGTGGGGTGCAATGGCTGTGGCAAGCAGAAACGACTCATATAATAAATAATAATGTACTAATTTTTAAAAAAAATTATAACACTTTTTTTTTTAACAATTTTCTTTTTTCTCTTTATTCCTTCTTTTGCTTTTTAATTGTACTTTTTGCTTCAGTCGTAGGTATTTTTCTGCCTTATTTTATTTTATATGCTGTTCTAATTTATTGTCACTAGAAATTTATGTATGTTACAGACATACGTACATAAAATATGTTGTAATAAATTAATATTTTAGTACATATTTTAGTAGTAAATGTATCGCGTACTTAATTTTCTACCTGCCTCGTGGTTGACTGGTAGAGAACGCCATTAGGTGTTAAGTCCGCCATACTAGTTTTATATAATTGTGCATTGAAGATCTTTTTTTTTTTTATTGTTATAGAACGAGTGCGACAAGTCCAAGAGAGGCTGGAGGAATTTATAGAAGCATTGAACAAAGAGAAATAGTCATATTGTACATTGTAGTTTAAAAAGAGCGAATGTAATTCCGGTCCAGAGGTATATTTATTCATTTATTTATTTACAAAACATTCAGTTTTTTTTTCTTTTTTCATAATGAAGTTATATTTTCACGATGCGCTTTTTTAAAATTTGGATTATTTTTTTATTCTAATTAGTATTTAGAGAGCTTTTTCTTACAACTGTATAGATAAATAAATGTAAAATAAAAATGGTAATTGTTACTTTTGATTAAAAATATTTCACAAAATTAATATTAGGACATTTCCTAGACAAATATAATAAAAAAACGCTACAATCGTATATGTCATGAAATAGACGTGTAGAGAGAATGACTTCAAAAATAGAAAATGTATGAAGGGTACAAGAGAACTGTAACGTATGGAGCAACACTAACAACTGTCCAGCTGTAAAGAATAGGTCCAAATCCCTCCAGAATGACGCTAGAGTAGCAAAACAATATGAAAAGAGTTTACCAGTTATTAATGCAGTGTATCCCACTAAATTAAAAAAAAATATTGACTACTTAATGCATAATATAAAATTTAACAGAGATATTTATCACAATATTAATCGTATATCATAGCATTGTTTTCTGTCTTAGGTTTTTTTTGAAGTTTTGTTTTCCTTGTTTACTTCCTTTAAAATTTACCCACGTGATACTATGGCGCCATCTTAATGTAACGTTTTTTAACGGTCATTTTTTCGTATACAGAGATTGTGCTTCTTACTTCTGCTATAATAAAAAAAAAAATCCCGCCATTTTTGACACATGAAATTTTCTTCTAACACAAAGGTATACAAATAAAAGGTTATGTTATAAATGTTTGCTGTCGTGTTTTTATGATTTCTTAGTATGATAATTATGTACTTTATTCACGTATTATGAATGAATTTGAATAAATATATCTCACGAACGGAACCCTTTATATATGTAACTATACAAAATACATGCTATGTATAGATAGGCTATGGTACGGTGCCACGACAGTCATACCGAATATGGCTGCATTTTTTAAGTTAAGCATTTGAACTGTAACGAGATGTAATGAACAATTATATTGATATTTTACTTTTTATTATGTATTTTACTAATTTTATAAATGTGAAAGTATGTAAAGACATTCGGATGTTTGTTACTTAAATCACACGCAATGAAATTTGGTACAGAGTTTAAATTTTTATTAAAATTTAGATCTTATATGCACAACCAAACCCGCGTGTTACGGTTAGTTTATCAAATATTCTAAGCATTGTATGAGATTTTATAGTATGCAATTTATGATTGAAAGTTGCTGTAAATAATGTAAAGGGTAGTAAGTTGATGCTAGTGAGCCGGTTTTTAAAATTATTTCCATTATGGCATATATCGTTGACAATTTTCATGTATTTATATAATTAATAATTAAATAGGTTTCTTCAGGGTCGGCAACGCGCGCGTAATACTTCTGGTATTGCAGGCGTTCATAGGCTACGGTAACCGCTTACCATCAGGCGGGCCGTATGCTTGCTTGCCGCCTCAGTGGTATAAAAAAAATTAATCATATAAAATACATTTCTAATATGGCACAATGTAAAAGAAAAGTTGTTTATAAAGAAATATATTTAGCTTATTATATTATATTGAGTAAATAAATAGTTGATTGCAATTCAGTTTGAATGTCGATTTCGAATCGTCTGTCCCATTCGTGTTTCAACCGTAAAGCAGTTGTGTTTGCATGGCTGTGTTTCGGTTTGAAGGGTGGGATATGGCGTGAATTTACTGGGTACAGAGGAATAACATCTTAGTCCTCAGGAATGGCAACGCATGGGGGGTATCATGGGCGAAACAGTATACTCTGTTATGTCCATGCTACTGCTCATATCTATAGGCGACGGTTACCACTTTCCATCAGGTGGGCCGTCAGCTTGTTTGCCATTCTAAGTTGTATAAAAAAAAATTACTTATTACATTCTGTTGTGATGAAGTGTGATTTTGCAATTGGTTAATATTCTATTACCCATAGTTCTGTCCAAAGATATTATTAACCTGCTCTTTACCGGCTAGGCGGCTTGGTATAGTTTTATTTTGAGCTTTCGCCTCTTATAATGACGTATTGTGCTTTATTCCCATAATTATTTCTTATGACAGACTAAAGTTGAAAAGATGAAATGGAATAATACTTTTTACTCTTTCTCCCTCTTTATACAATTGTATTATTTCATTTATATATGTAGTGAATAATATTTGAGATCTTATCATCATCATCATCATCATCATCATCATCATCATGGTCATAGTCTTTAATGACATTGTTAATCAGTAATATTCAAGTCCGTTGAATGAAATAAACAATGAGTATTCTTTTTTATTTTTGTTTTGTTAAAAATAATGTGAAACTATATAAAAAATGCATTTATTACATTAAAACATCAATTATTACCTGGACAACAATGTTATTATGAACTATTTAAAAATAACTGTAAATGTTTGTTATACAGTACATCACATTTAGCACACGAGACAGATGGCGCTAGGTATTTCAATGAGAAGAAAAATAAATGCTAACATATGTCAACTATAAAAATTTTGTTTTTTGAAATGTTATATTGTAAATGTATATTTAGATAAATTGTGATGTATCTAGAATAATTATACTTTAGAGGCCGCCCCTGCTAAGAGTCGCAACGTCGTAATCTCCTGTCAAATTTAGTACTTCTTATGGGCCCCATAGACGGTCAATCGATTAGAATCAAACACGCATTTATTATCGCTTGCAAAATAAAAATGGCGGTATATTATACAAAAAAAAAATTGACACAAGATTACGTTATTGCTTCTTCTTAGTGGAAAGACCTGTTAAACATGTAAAATCTCACATTTCAATGTACTTTGATAGAAATTATGACATATTATTGGTATGGCTGTGTGCGCGCGTACTTATAATACGTTGTATTATTTTGTTATTAATTTAACTGCTTGATATAAGTTATCTTGTAATAAAATGTTGCATAAAATATTTCTGTTTTTTAATTAATACACAAAAACAATAAAAAACGATACTAACAGCATCTAGCATTTTTGAAGAAATAGTAGAGGTGTCAAGTTATAAATATCCTATTATTCATTCGACTAATTTGTTTCAGTTTTTAAGTTAGACTATTGCGTAATCATTCAAATCTATTCTATGGCGATAACGAACAAACAGACAGATGTCAATTCTTAAAATTGTCTGATTTACATTTTATTAGTTATTTTTAAGATCCTTAGTAATTTTCTCAGTAAAAAAAAAAAAAAACCTTCGACTACATTCTATAATAATGCATACAAATAATACTTTATTTGTACATCATCAATTTGCTTCAATATATTATAGACTTCCTCATTTCCCGGACCTTGTTGATATTGAAATTCTTTTAAAATGTACATTGCCAACCTTGTGTCATCATGTCGACATTCACTTAAAAATCCCTTTAATATGCACCAAATAAACGTATCCCTGCTTTCGTGGCTACTAAAATACTTCCACAAATAAACACTCATCTCCTTAGAATACAGTTCTACAATGGAATCGAAGTACTTTTTTGTTAAATCTTTGATTTCATAAGCTAAATATTTCCCAAATGTCGTTCCAACTATAAGGACTCCCTCGTTTATTGTTTTTACTGGATCTGAGAATATGTCAGGCTTATGTTTAACACACTGTCTGATCGATTTACAATACAGCATTGTCAGGTGCAGCGTCACGTATTTTTTGAAATACATCGTTACCGGAAATATTTGTTGCATCCATTCTGCTTCCCTTTCAAATACAGGTACACTCGAAACATATGCACCGTCGAAAAATACATGACTATGTTTCAAATAAAACAAAATATGGTCCAACATTGTTAAAATAGTACATCGATTGACCTTATCTAGCCATAAACTCTTTATCTTATTTAAAACCGGTTCTCCAATTAATGTCATTCTTTGCTTCTGTGCTTCTTCACTTCGACAGAGTAGCAAATATTTTACAGTCACCCACAGATGTAATTGTACAAGCTTTTTATCAGAATAAGTTTGTTCGTTTGATATATTATCTAATGTTAAAAAATTGTTTATAAAATCTTTAATAACATCTACTATAATTTCTTCATCTACATCACCTAAAGTCGAATCGAGACGACGAAGTACTTTAATTGCTTTATATCTTGCAACCCTTCGTAAAACACTATAAACTATGCAGCAATATTCAACTCTTATTCTGTGTGGTATCGTTTGCACTTTATCAACAGATTCTTGCAATTTTTTATATTTATTTAGATCTAGTTTCATTATGACAGGTTTAACTGCCTCCCAAACACGTTGATCAAACGCATCACCACGTTGTCTTATGTATTGAAACGAATATTTAACTGTAAGTATGGGTCTTAAATTTACTGCTTTTCTAAATACTACTCCTTCTTGCCCACTTCTAAGAGCTAGCATAATCGCTAGTTTTATCGTGCGACGATCCGCCATTAGTTTATTTAGATATTCGTCGATCTTTGTGTATTGGCAAATTAAAACTCTATTGGCAATTGCTTTAATATCAGCTGCAGTCCAAGTCGTGTCGTCCAAATCAAATTTAACATTCGCTAAGTGTGCATTGGCCCATAATGCAGCTGCATACTGTTTTTGAATATTAGTATTGCGTTCTAATTTCTGTAGTCGTTGGCCTAACGATGGGCCCGCCAATAATGCTACAGGGCGGGCGAGATATGCGTGCGGAACTTTAGTACATTCACTATCAAGTATTTCTAAGTAACGTTCCGCAATGCCTCTCCGCTCTGAAAAATAAATACTCAACTTACGTAGGAAGCCATCATGATGCATCTTACTTTTTACTAACTCGCTAAATTTGTTGTTATTGAGTAGTATTGAAGAGTCGCGCCTCAAAGCATTTAAGTAGGACGCGTTATTTTGATTATGACTAAAGTTTTCTCGAAATAATTCTTTACGTGCTATTCTATTACGGAATAGACGGTTCAAGAGTTCACCACAAATGGATAAATGTTGTTTTATAAAGGAAATAATAATTGATAGTATAGCCGGATATTTATCAAGCCGTATATGATAGTCTTCCAAAACATTGAGCAACTTTAATAATTGTATAACAGCCTGTGCAGGTTCCACATCCGGAGTTGGTACGAGTATTTGAGGTAACTTCTCTAAGAGATATTTCTTCTCCGTGGAATTCAATTTGTACTCTTTGAATGTCGAGAATCTTTCTAAAAACTTGATAAATATTTCAAGAGGACAATTGCCAGTCGACAAAATATAACGCAGTACAACAGCGTGTAAACCCTCGTCGCACTCCACATTGGCCTTGTTACCATCTAATCCAAGGCCTTGTGCAAATTTAAGGAACATCTGCCATACAGTACTCGGCATTTGCCAAACTTGAGCACGTTTCACCATACTTCGCACTACCGCAGCACGAATATTTGACGGTTCATTCGCATGACGTCTTAACAATAATTCGAGTAACTGTTCAACATTTTCAGGGTGGCCACCACTCTTGCTAACTAAAACCAACATCATATATTCGCGAATCTGAGACGAACTTTCGGCCAACATTTGTTTTTCTAATTTTATAAATGTTTTCTTGAAACTAGCAAACCGATACATATCGAAAATGTTTTCGAAAGTGATCATTCGGTTTCTCTTGGAACTCTCCCACATGCGTAATTTTCTCTTTTTCACCATTGCTTTAAAATCCATATAATAATCATAATAATCCTCTACGTCTACAAACACATGATTATCGTCTTGAGTTGTGCTCGTATCTTCCATTTTAGGTGGGCAGGGGATTGAATATGGCCATTCATTTATCCATTCACCAATAGACTTGTCTACGAATACTTGTTTTTTAAATAAACTTCTCTCATCTCTGGGCAATCGAATAATCAATGGTTCTATATTTTTATATGAGAACCACGAATCAATGTATTTAGCTTGAGCAAGCTTAAGGACCAGGTCCTTAACTTCAGATGTTGACAAACATTTGGCTAATGCCTTCGTATCCAATAACATGGCCGTATAGAGTTCGGGTTTATTGTTGAACCTCCCTCTATGTTTATCCATGATATAGAACGTGGCGGCAGAGCTGAATCTTTTAAATTTGTAAGTATTGTAATATTTTTCTGTTATATCTAAAAATAACTCTGCTTCGATTTTCAACAGAGATCTAATGCTAAGATAATATTTCATTTCATTGGCTAAATAAATAGACAAAAGTTTTTTATTTTTTGGCAACATATCAAAGTATATTTTGACGGCTTGTGGACACTTTTCGCATAAGAATTTCATATGTTGCGGACTAATATTTTCTAAAATGTTTCCAAATACATCGGAGATGAAGTCAGTTGTACAGTGCCAAAGAAATTTAATAGCTATATCGATATTTGAAGAGTAATATAAAAAAAATTCTTGACATCTTTCAGCATCGCGTAAATGTTGATAGATCCAGTGTTTCATTTTGTTAACAGCAGTTGTTAACATCTCTGGAAAGAGGACATTCTCCAAGTATGTAGGATTTATGACATCACGATATTGTGGCTCCAGCAACCAAAGGCATCTAAGAGCTCTGCTGACATACAGCATGTTGTCGTCTTTTAAATTTTGTATAATATATTGTATGTGACGATATTTGGATGCGAGGTCGATCTTAAAAATACGATCTATAGCTGATTGTTCTGAAAAATTCTGGATAGACTCGAAAGGCACTGCCTTCTGGTAAGACTCTTCCACCAAAGTATTGAGATGACGATGTCGTTCCCCCAAGTTCTTGCCACATAATGAAATTGGAAGTAACGTCGACATCTGAAAGAAATATCCAAAAAAAATCATAGGAAATGGTAAATATAAGGGATATTTATTTATTGAGTCTACATTATCGAAACTTATAAAGAGAAAGAATTTTTTTTCTTTTTTTTTATACAACTTAGAATGATAAACAAGCAGACGGTCCACCTGATGGAAAGTGGTAACCGTCGCCTATAGACATGAGCAGTAACCATGGACATAACAGAGTATACTGTTTCGCCCATGATACCCCCCATGCGTTGCCATTCCTAAGGACTCAGGTGTTATTCCTCTGTACCTAGTAAATTCACGCCATATCCCACCCTTCAAACCGAAATACAGTCATGCAAATACAACTGCTTCACGGTTGAAACACGAATGGGACAGAGGTACCCAAGCAATCGACTTTTGTACAAAGTTCCTCGTTCATTTTTATTTATTTAGCTACTTGGCAGACACGTTTATATAGTAGTGAAGGAAGTAATATGTATATTATGGCATATTAGGTATCTTGCTTATGTGATACGTTGTTAGGGTAAAAATATTGGCAATATTCAAGAGAAATTTTCGGAAGTTTCCAATTTTCGAAGTAATGTACGTCAAATCCAAACAGAAGCAACAGTCGGTGTATTAGTACGGTTATGGAAGAAAGAGGAAAGAATTAAACAGAAAAATTCTTCAGAACTGAGTTTGGAGTAATATTTATATAAAATAAATAAAATATATGCTTACCTTATTTAGTGAATATATTTACCTTTAAACATATATGAACTGTTATATGATCTCACTTTCATACTATAATAAAAGAGAAATGCACATGCATTTGAACGGGTAGCACCGGTTGACTGTAAATTTGCGTAACAAGTGACACAGAAGTTTGCAAAAATAACAATGACCTTGATTCAGCTATGCTCGTCCGGTGCAATCGAAATAGACATTCTACGTATTCAGAATTCACACAAGATGCAAGTATGTATAAATACCTAGGTACGTTACGATCGAAGCAATAAATGAAATTGCTAGAATCAGGTAATGCATCTTAAACGTTAAAACTGGAATTAAAGCACCAGAAAGATTAAACTCCAGTTTTAATCCATTCTCGTGGAATAAAATTTCTAAACCTTACACCTAAAAGTTTATCGGATCATCCGAAGCAATAATACAATATATTCATCTGTTATCATCAATAAGTACGTTATATATATATATATATATATATATATATATATATATATATATATATATATATATATATATATATATATATATATATATATATATATATATATATATATATATATATTTTTTTTGGTGGATGAAAATGGAATGGTAACCTGCGTTAACGAGATACGCTGGCGGAGCACCAGTGAAGGGTGATCGATGAGAATGAAAACCAGGCCAGTTAACCCATCATGATGAATTCATCAGGAATTAACCATGATAGTTTCCAGGGGGAACCACGAGGAGGTCGACCTGGTTGGGTATATTGCTAGCAATGGGATTTTTAGTCTCCATTACTAACAATCCCTTTCCCCCCAAGTACGTTATATTAAGTCTATGATCACCAACTCTCCACTAATACTACAGTAAAAAGAATTACTTTATGAAAACTTCTGATACTAATTAAGACATAATAAACCATATAAAAACTCATTTAATTAAAAATATTGAGTTCAATAAAGTAAAAAAAGAATATACCCTTTACCAATATTAAAAAAAAGGTCAAAAATAGTCTCTATTTAACTATTTCCTTAGTTTTTTAAATACAACTTACAATGGCAAATAAGCTAACGGCCCACCTGATGGAAAGAGGTAGTCGTCGCCTATAGACATGAGCAGTACCATGGACATAACATATCATTGCCATTCGTTTGTTCAAGTGGTAGTGTTTATTTATCCCTTAGTTTAATTCAAAATAATAAAATAAGAATATTTGCCTAAGTGTTGCCATTATTAACTTCCATAAATCACACCCATAGAATATTTATGTTCACATTGTAATAAGGTGGACTGGGTAATGATTGTACACTAACTTCATGATGAATTCGATTTAACATCAATCCAATAAAAACGACATATTAGAAACTATTTTTAATGCTTCGATGATCCTGTCAAATAAGTGCTCTCGATAGTAAAGCATTATAATATTATAATGCCAAGATAGTATAGATTAAATTGATATTGGATATCAAGAGTCTATCAATATCAATAAACACTTGTAATAAACTAGTTATGCGATACTGCTACCCCCGAGGGTCAAGGAAGACAGATCGGCTGGCATCGGGGCGTTGGTATGCCTGGATATAAACTTATCCCCCTAGAACAACACTCTGTATGCAGTGTCGATACAGAACGCCGATTTAAATGGTTCTCAGTTGACGACGCAGACACTGATGAAGGGTGATGGACAGAAATGATTCCCCTGTACCTTCAGGTGTGGACCGAAATAGTCTTTCGATCCACACCTGAAGGTACAGCCTGCACTCGCCCCATTTTCATCCGGTGAAGCTGTAAAGGCCATTTGTAAATGGCCTTAGTTAAATGGCCTAATAGTTCCTATAATAAAACTGTAGTATGCCTATGTTGTATGTCAATCTATTCTATTTATAAATACTAATTGGTACCCTATTATCAACTGTCTAACTCTCTATTCTGACTTAATAATGAACGATAACTTTCTACACTATACTGTTAGAGTGCTATTTTTTCTATTTCCTATTATTCTATTAACACAAAGAACACTATGAAACTATAACTATACTTCTACCCATTTCTATGAGTTTTTTAAGTATTGAAAAACCATGAGTAAAAATCTTTATTTTTCGAACTTATAACTACTTTGCATACCTAAACTATCTATTAATAATCAATTATGTTCAGGTAACGTTTTAACTATAAAAATATACTATACAAATTTTCTATATACGAACGAACGGTACTATGAGACAGCGGCTTGTACTAGTAATAGTAATAGGCAAAATTTGCTCGCCGACAAATCACGATTACTATTATTCAGTATTTTACTATAAAGTTTGTTGTCACTGTCTAACATTGAACTGTTTTATTTCACTACACTTTATAATTTGTAAACTACTCTTCTGTCGATGAGCAATTTTCGTCTAACAAGAATTAAATGGCATAGAATTCACTGTTGGTAACACCAACGTAAACCCGTTTTAAATTACAGAGCACTTTTTTTATATGTTACTCTGTGGTTTATAAAAAAAAAAAAAATCTTATATTTTTCTAATGTTTTTTGTTGTTTACGAGATTGTACTTAAAAATATAATAAACTGGTTTATCTGTTAGTCAGTTCAGGCAGCTAACTAACGCCAATATAGTAAAAATGGCTTTAAAAAGACTTACAATGTTAAGAGCATTTAAGTTTTTAACAGGTGAAAATCAACACATCTGTAGGTTATGTTTAGATACAACTGAACACCAAGAAATGTCCTTTGAAGACACAGTGAGATTTGAGAAAACTTACTGCACTGAAACGCTAACATTTGGAGAAATGTTTGAAGATTTAGGTGTAAGTAAAATGGACAAAATTTCTTATAAGCACATATTTTTTATAGATGAAAATGGTATGGTATCTCCGCCTACGCTATCGGTATACGTTAGCAGAGTACCAGTGAAGAATGATAGATGAGGATGTAGTTAGGTCTGTTAGCCCAACGTAACAAATTCATTGAGAATTAACCACTATGGTTTCCAGAAAGGACAAGCATGGAGGTCGACCTAATGGAATATATTGCTAGCAATGGGTATTACTAACAATTACAGCCTTTCCCTCCTAGCACCTATTTTGTTGTTTTTTATTAGATAAAAATTTAATATTGACTCACTATTAGTATACACTTTAGAGGCACAGATATAGGATATGTGTGTGAATGACAAATTCAACAATAGTGTATTATAAGATTCAACAATAATTGACCATAATGGTTTTCATTCCATGGGAAACTAGTAGTAGTATTGCTAGTAATGGACCTGTTTCATCTTGTTCATTATTTATATATAATGAATGATAATGGATTGGTATCCTATCCTATGCTAACTTTATGTGCTGGCGGGGCACCAGTAAGGGATGATAGGTGAGGATGAAAAGGCCAAAAGCCCATTGTGATGAATACACTTGGAATTAAATAGATTGGATTCCACGGGGACCATGTGGAGGTTGATCTGGAAGGGTATATTGCTAGCAATGGGATTGCTAATTTACATTATTAATAACCCCCGAGGCACCTTATATTAGGTTTCAGCTAGCAGTTTACACCAACAGAAACATTTACAAACTAATTATTTTCATTATTTACAATTTAACAATGGTATTATTAAGAGACAGTTGACTATATATGTTTTAGGCATATATCTGTCTCTTTTTTCAAATGAATTAAAAAAGGAGGTTCTCAATTCGGTTGTATTTTTTTGTTACCTCAACTTTATCAGTTCTCATAGACATGGAAAATTATTTATTTATCTGAAAGGATATACTTACAGATTGATTCCACAGCAATTTTATCAAAATTGGTTCAGTAATTTAGGTTCTAGATCAAAATAACTGGTTTTGTCACAATTGAAGTTGGTTTTTTTTTAGTTATTCAGTCCAAAAGGTAAAATACTAAGCTAAAAATAGTCTCTCTATCTCAGTACCTGACACCAGTGGGTCCATGTACAGTATCGGTGATATTTGAGATGTTTATATAACATTGAGTAATCTTATAAGTTACATAGTAATTATTTTTTGTTACAGGTTTTAAGAGAATTAGCATTGCCACAAGTACTTTGTAGCAGTTGTGCAAAAACTGTTATCAATTCATATTTGTTTAAAAAACTTTGTGAATACTCTAATAACATGTGGAGTGAAGTAATAGAAAGACTTGATGAGAGTTTAAACCAAGCAGAAACCTGTAGACCAAATATAAAGACAACATATCTCCTTGTGAATGAATATGACAATGTTATTCTTACTAGCAGAAATAATCATTTAACAAAAACTAAAAAAATAGTATTGGCAAAAATTAAAAATACATTAAAAAGTAGAAAGTCTTATGTCAAAGTTAAACAGAAGTTTAATAATGAAACAATATGTGAAGAATGTGGAGATAAATTCACTTCAAACTGTCTTCTCTTAAAACATAACATGAAAGTACATCATAAAAATAACAATTTCTGTCTGCAATGTTCAAAAGTTTTTGCAACACCATTGCAAGTAGAGAAGCATGCTGAAAGAGTCCACTATCCAAAGAAAATAAAATGTTCAAAGTGCTCTAAAATGTTCAGCACAGAAAGGATGTTAAAACATCATGACAAATTACATCACATAGCTGCCATTTGTAAATTATGTTTTGTGCAGTTTCCCTCTAAAAAGGATTTAAGAGCTCACATATACAAACATGATGTCAATAAATGCCCAAAGTGCAGTAAGACTTTTTTAAATAGATACACATTTAAATTCCATTTAAAAATATGTGGCAACCCTGAAGAGAAACAGCCCAATTTTTTCTGTGATATCTGTAAAAAGGGTTATGTCCGTAAGAGTGGGTTGAAATCTCATTTAAAGACTGATCATGGGTTTGGACATGCACTATCATGCAACTGGTGTGGAAAGAAATTTGATGCTGTAAGTCGTTTGAAAAGTCACATTGTAAAACATACAAAAGAGCGAAACTTCCATTGTGAGCAATGTGGTGGAAAATTTGTTACACAGGCCGCTTTGGTATATCATACAAGGTTACATACTGGGGAAAGGCCATTTCCTTGTAATTTATGCAATGAAAGCTTTTTATCTGCTTCTAGAAGAATGGATCATAAGCGCAGAGTGCATTTTGGACCAACTATGGAGTGTTTAATTTGTCATGCAAAGTTTGCGACTGGAAGTCAACTAAAAAAACATGTTCAAAAACATTCTAATCCACTCAGCAAACTTTATGTTTCAGATGTTAAAAATTTAAAAAAAGAAAACTGGGAAGTGTTCTGAGGAATCTGCAATTCGATATTTACTTGATTTAAATTGCATATGAAATATAATTCATATAAAACCATTATGATTTTTTGTATTTTATTTACATTTAATATAGATAATAATGACATGCACATAAGCTCTTATGTGCCAAGAGGTTAACAAAACAGCTACTATATAGTAATGAAATTACAGGGTACAGAGGCATACCACTTTAGCCTTAGGAAATGGCAAGGCAAGAGGGCTATCACAGATGACGCAGCATACTCTGTTATGCCCATAGAACAAATGAACAGTATGTTCATGCTTAACCACTTTCTAACAAATAGGCTACCAGTTTGTTTATATAACATACATAAGTTGCATAAAAAATCTGGTTCTGAATTAATTATATGATATTGATATTATGAATCATGTGCAGAACTTCCTTTTCTACTGCTCCGATCCATTTATTTATATTTACCAGAGGGAGACTTTGTACAAAAGTCGATTGCTTAGGTACCTCTATCCCATTCATGTTTCAACTGTGAAGCAGTTGTGTTTGCATGGCCTGTGTTTCGGTTTGAAGGGTAGGATATGGCGTGAATTTACTGGGTATAGAGGAATAACACCTGAGTCCTCAGGAATGGCAATGCAATGGGGGATATCATGGGCGATACAGTATACTCTGTTATGTCCATGGTACTGCTCATGTCTATAGGCGATGTTTACCACTTTCCATCAGGTGGGCCGTCAGCTTGTTTGCCATTCTAAGTAGTATAAAAAAAAAAATAAAAAAATGCATGCAATGTATTATAGAAATCTTGATTTATTTATATACACATTTATGATATATACATTTTTAATGTTATGTGTCAAATTAAATTCCTTTTATAATGATTTTACAATTCTGATGTTTTGCTCTCCTGGAATATTTGGTGGTATCATATTCCTACCCATATACAATTTACTTGTAGGGTCATGATGTCTGCTCATATGCTGCTTCAAGAAATGTGAAGTTACAAATTTACGTGAGCAAATATCACAACTTAAAGTAGGTCCCACATGTCTAAATCTAATATGGTCAGCCCTTGCGGATGCATTTACAAATTTTTCATTACACTGTGTACAAGAATAAGGTTTCTCTCCAGTATGTCTTCTAGTATGGTACAGTAATGCTTCCTTTGAAACAAACCTGTTATTGCAAATGTCACATTTGAAATTCTTTTCTCCTGTATGTTTTACCATATGGGTCTTCAAGTAACTTGGTGCAGTGAATTTTTTGCCACAGTAATCACATATATGTGGTTTAGCATTGCCATGTACAAATCTCATATGCACTCTTAGTCCACCTGAAGTGCTGTAGCCTTTGCCACATATTCCACAAATGGAAGTCTTTTTTATATTACTCCGAATTGGATGTGGATCTATAAGATCTTCTAGACATAATTTTATATGTTTATGGAAGAAATCTTTGGTTGCATATGATTTGCCACATTTAGGACATTCATTTTTTGTTAAATGTTTCTGCTCATGAGCATGTAACTTATCCAAACCCTGGCATGACTTGCCACATTCAGTACATAAATAGATATTATGGACTTTGTCCATATGCTTAATGAGATCTTCCTCTTTACTTTTAGACATATGGCATTTAGAACATTGGAACTTGTGATTGACACTTATATGTGATTCTAATTCAATATCATCAATGAATGTTTCAAAACATATTTTACATGTTAAAACATTATGGCATGTTTCATTATGCACTTTGAGGTCATCAATATTATCAAAAAATTCATTGCATTCTTGACACTCGAACTGTTTTTGTCTTTTATTGCTTTTCCTGTTCTGTGCTTCTTGATTTTCATTTCTGTTCTCATTTTCCAAAACCAGTATAGGACTAAAGTCATCTTCATTTAAAGCAATAAATAAGCTTTTATTAGTTATTAATTCAGAGTCAATATTCAAAGCTTCTATGAGGTTGTCAAATATTTTGTTTATCACATTTGTAGATTGTTTACATTGAGCGATAAATCTGGCAGCTTCAATAGTCTTGTTCATACAATCTATACAGATGGCATCTATTCCTGGTACTTCATCTGTTACCTGTAATTTTATTATTAACATATAAGTATACAAATTAAATATATAAATAAGTAGCCACTAATAAAAAAAAAACTCAAAATTTAATTAATGTTTATTTACCTCGTCATCACCTTTTAACAGCATATCAAGAATTTCGGACAAAGGCTGAAATTCGCCGTTCTGTTGAACACTAATACTATCATGGAAACGCACATATTCGCCTTGAATATGTTTTAAACATAGCCTACAGTTACTGAAACACTTCTGACTAACTATATTAGAAAATAAGAGATTCACATTGAATTCTGAACCTTCGAGTTTACACTGGTTATTATTGTCCATATTTATCTAGACTAAAACTATGAAATATTAAATAAATATTGTTCTATTAATTAAAAAATAGTAAACTTAAAATGTATATCAAAATTCAAACAAAGTATTTCAGATAAAGCGCGCGCTTTGAAACTATACGTTCAACAACTGTAGACATGTTACCATGCTGCCAATCCGCCATTACATAAAATGGCGCCTGAGGAGATTAACTCGATAAAATTATTTGCTAGGTACCTAATAGATATTTAAATAAATCAAAATATAAAAATTATTATTATATTTTTAATAGCAAACAATAATATTTTAAATATCGACTTATATATTACATAATTAATAAGATAAGGAACAAATTAAGTAATTTGCGAACGACAGAGCTCGATCATGATCTTCCTAACTTAATACAAATAGAATTTGAACCTTATCTTTAATGCTTACAGTTTATGTTCATTCAAAAGTCATGAAACAGTAACTAGTATCGATTCTGAGGCGTAATCTCAACTTATTAATTTGATTATTTCGTGAAATTAATCTTTTGTAGAACATTATAAACTACATATACGATAATTTTTTTAGAAAGTTAGCTGATATTGTTACTAAGTATAAAGACTTCGCTGTAATATCAATTAAAAATGATTACTTTTACAGATAAAATTAGAGAAATAACGCCTCAAAATTGACCTCACTAATTTATATTAAGGGACCTACCATGAAATGAAATTTCAAATTTTCGGACTCAATTTGGTTTTTTTTTAATAACACCGAAGTCAGTCCAGTAAATGGAGCTTAACATTTCGACATAAATCCTATTATAAAAATGCATACGAATGATGTAATTGTAATTTCAACATAAAGTTTGTGTTTCGTTCTATCTCAAAATTTTGGAAAAAAATATATGATAGACTATCTAATCAAAATAAGTTCAATAGTTTAGTCTGAAATGAAAATAACTGATTTTGCTATAAATAAAGTCAGTTTTATTTGGAACACAATCTTTAATTATTTTAAATAATTTTGATTTGGAGAAAAAATTAGGACTTATTAGTAAAAATAAAAATTCGCATTTGGCAACCCGGTCTTGTAAAGAAAAAGCTAACTATCTAAGAAACAGCTGAATTGTTTTTATCATGTTTGTAAACAAAAAACTTTTTTTTTGCCAGTTTCGAGACTTGCATTAAATAAATTTTTTACTTAGTTGTAGGTTGATAAAAATTGCATTAATTATTGTTACCCTGGCCATTCTAAATTATTGATCATGAGCTGTGTGAAAAGTATTCTATTTAAATTAATATCAAATGAAAACGACTTTTGTTTTTTATGTTATAACTCTTTAAATGAAGAAAGTCAAAATATATACTTTGTTACTGATCAAATATATTTGAAAGACAAAGATGATCTGAACATGTTACAAATATTGGATTATGTGGTGGGGCATAGGGTAAGTTACTGATGTGTCTGCAATTCATTTTAAAGTGTATTTTTTATGCAACTTTGAATGGCAAGCAAGCTTGCGGATCACATGACGAAAAGTAGAAACCCTCGCTTATAGACGTAAACAGTACCATGGACATAAAAGAGTATACTGTGTTGCTCATGATACTCTTTATGCATTGCCATTTTTGAGGACTAAGGTGTACTTTTTTTTTGATGGATGAAAATGGAATGTTAATCCTGCCTGCCCTAACGAGATACACTGGCAAAGCACCAGTGAAGGGTAATCGATGAAAATGAAAACAGGCCAGTTAGCCCATCTTGATGAATTCATCAGGAATTAACCATAACAGTCGGGGGGAAAGGGGTTGTTAGTAATGGTGACTGAGAATCCCATTGCTAGCAATATACCCCACCAGGTCGACCTCCTCACGGTTCCCCCTGGAAACTCATTTTCATCTATCACCCTTCACTGGTGCTCCGCCAGCGTATCCCGTTAGCGCAGGCGGGGTTACCATACCATTTTCACCCATCAAAAAAAAAAAAAAAAAAAAAAAAAAAAAAAAAAAAAAAAAAAACCATAACAGTTTCTAGGGGGGACCACGAGGAGGTCAACCTGGTTAGGTATATTGCTAGCAATGGGATTTTTAGTCTCCATTACTAACAATCCCTTTCTCCCCTATGCTGCTGTACTCTATAATTTTACCGACATACATTATCCTTTAAACCAGTGATTCTCAACCACTGTGCCGCGGCACTTTTGTGTTTATTTATTTATTTATTTATTTATTTTGTGATACATAGGTAACAATGGATGGTAAAACAATATAAGTCCTCTATAATCAACCCCATCTATCGAGGTATACAAATTTACAATTACATAAGAAAACATTTATATTATATAAAAAGAAAAATCAGCAATGTCACATTTATATAAAAAGAAAAATCAGCAATGTCACATTTATATAAAAAGAAAAATCAGCAATGTCACATTTATAGTAAAAAAATATAATTATGGAACTTTATTTTTTTTTTTAAGTTAATAACTATAAATAAATATTCGTTTTGTCAGATTTTATCATTAAAGAATTCACATACATTGTAATAACATTTATCAATTAAGAATTTTTTTAATTTATACTTAAATACATTAGTTGGTACATCCTTTATAGATTTTGGTATTTTATTATAGATTTTTGGTGCCATACATAATATACTATCGTGCATAAGTTTTGTACTAGATTTTTTTTAGATATAACTTATCATTATCACGTCGATTGCGTTTAACAATTTCTGAAAGTCGTGGAAATAAATTCTTATTAGTTTTAACAAATACACACACTTCAAATATGTACAATGAAGGTACTGTCAATATATTATATTGTTTGAAATACGGCATACAACTATCAGTATTTTTAAGATTAAACATGGCTCTTATGCACCTTTTTTGAGCTTTAAATACAAATTCTTTCTTCGTTGAATTTCCCCAAAATATTATGCCATACCGTAAATTTGAAGCAGTAATACCATGATACGCTGTAATGAGCGCTGATTCATTTACTGTAGGAGACAATTTATTTAAAGCATAAGCCGAAGAACTCAATTTCTTGGATAATTCATCTATATGATCTTTCCAGTTTAATTTATTGTCTATTATAATACCTAGGAATTTTGTATTCTCTACAATTTTAATATCACTATTAAGGTAACAAGCACCAATAGTACTTAAAGAAGTCCTTTGACTGAAATGCATTATATGTGTTTTATTAATATTTATTTTTAGATTATTATTATTCAACCATTTAACTATATTCTTCAAAGCTTGGTTTACATCATTTTCATACTCATCAATACTTTGGCATTCTATTGTTACTGTACTGTCATCAGCAAAAAGTGACATAGGTTGCTTTGTTATTTTGGGTAGATCATTTGTATATATAATAAACAACAATGGACCCATAACACTACCCTGGGGAACACCATACAAGACAGTTCTCTGGTCAGAAATATAATTTTCTTCAAGTTTGGTTCTATTATTTATTTTATTTATTTGAGTACATTGTTTCCTGTCAGTAAGGTAAGACTTTAGTAAATTTAAAACATTACCCCTGATTCCATATACATATAATTTTTGAAGTAAAATATTATGGTCTACGTAATCAAAAGCTTGAGTCATATCACAGTAAATGGAGCAAACCGGTGTACTTTTATCCATATTTGTCAAAACAGTGTACAAGAAATCATAAATTGCTAAGTTAATGTCTTTGTTGCTTCTAAATCCTTTCTGATCTGATGTGAATAGATTTTGTTTTTCAAAGTACTCGTATATTTGTAAATATATGTATTTTTCAAAAATTTTTGAAAATGTTGTAGGCAATGCAATTGGTCTATAACATTCCATTGAATATTTATCTCCTTTTTTAAATATTGGTCTTACAATTGTAGTTTTTAAAATTTTAGGAAAAGTACCTGAACTTATACTGAGATTGATAATATAGCTAAGATGTGAGGCTATGTATGTTGAAGCAGCTTTTACAACTTTTGTAGATATTTCGTCAATGCCAACACTGCTAGTGTTTTTTAAGTGTGTTATAATTTTTAATATATCATGGGGTAAACTAGGCGCCATAAATATTGAATTTTAAAAGTGTGCTGCCAAATTTTGCAAATATTTAAAATTTTTGTCATAAACTATTTATGCAGTGTGTTGTAGTAAGTAAATAATTTTTATCTTTTTCTTTGTGTGCCGCCAAATTTTGAATTCGTTAAATATGTGCCACAACAAAAAAAAGGTTGAGAATCACTGTTTTAAACTGAAACAGCCATGCAAGCATAGCTGCTTAACAGCAGAAACACAAGTGGGAAAGAGGTGCAGACAAATTTAGTACATCTCCATGTGGTCCTAGAGGCATTTGGAAGAAAATTATTATCAATTTATCTCATAAACCATTCAGTACTACTTAAGCTGTTACATATTGAAAATTCAGTCTTTAGTGTCTATATTTTAGATTAAAATGTATATATAATTTTAATTTTTTCTTTGTAAGTTAATAAAAAAAGGGTGTCTGTGGTGGTGTGCCCTGTGTATGAGCAAGAGGTGTCTCATAATATTATTATACAGTTTCCTAAACTTATTTTAACATATGATTTAATTATATACATATATTTATTTAATTTCAATTTTACTGTTTCAGTTTATACACAGTAGATCATCAGATTTTATTTGTCAAAGATGCACAGAATTGGCAATTAGTTGTTACAGATTCATTGAAACCTGTCAAAAAAATATACAGGATACTGAGACCGCTATAAGAAGCCTCAATGAGCATTTTGAGATAAAATCAGAAACAGAGTCGGGTAAAGCAATGATTGCATCATTAAATATAAATGATTTTACAATGAAACAATATTATGTCCAGGAAATTAATGATAAATTATTGGCATTACAATATTTTTTATCTGTTTCTGATACAGATAATACTGAAAAAGGCAATTTGTTAACTAAGGAGACTGAAATAGAGATATACATAGAAAACACTACTAAAGATATAAATCCCACATGTGAAAGTAACAGTCATGGGAATCTTACTATATCACTTCAAGACATGGTACTTAATGAAAATGATAGATCAATATATAAATGTAAAGCCTGTTTTAAAATATTTTCGAGACCTCATAATTTAAGGCAACATTATATGAGATTACATGCCGCTAAAACTTATAAATGTAAACAGTGCCAAAAAAGTTACGGCTCAATAACTATTTTAAAGCAGCATAATTATGAAAGCCATTATAATAAAGTTTGCACCAAATGTGGTAAAATGTTTCATAATAGAACAAGATTAAATATGCATGAAATTAGTCATAACTTAGAACTCTTATGTCAGATGTGTGGCAAACATTACAAGAGTCTGCATTCTTTTAAAAAACATGTGAAAACCAAAATATGCCAACAAAAGCCCAGGAAACCACTAGAACAAAAATTTATTTGTGATTATTGTAATAAAAAATATGGTTCCAAACAAACATTAGGCATTCATATAAAATTTGAACATGGAAATGAAAAAGGTCATGTTTGCTCATGGTGTGGTAAAAGATTTTGTGCAAAAAGTAAACTAAAAGCTCATATAGTAAAACACACTAGAGAAAAAAACTACAATTGTGACTTATGTCATAATAGGTTTGTCACAAAAGAATCTTTATTGATCCATACAAGACAACATACAGGGGAAAAACCATATGAATGCTCACATTGTAACCAAAAGTTTATAACATCGTCCAGAAGAGCAGAGCACATAAGAAAGCAACATTTGGAATTAATTTAGAAATGTAACATCTACAAGAATAAGTTTAAGACACGGGCTTATCTACTGCAGCATAGGAAAAAGACCCATACAATAATATATGAATAATTAAACGCATTTCATTTGAGTATGCTAATTAAATCTTAAAAAGATTAATTTCTTTTATTTTTACTAAACATTTATTTCAACAGGTTACATACAATGTTGTCTTTTTTTTTATACAACTTGTGAATGGCAAACAAGCTGACGGCCCACCTGATGGAAAGTGGTAACCGTCGCCTATAGACATGAGCAGTACCATAGACAACAGAGTATACTGTTTCGCCTATGATACCCCCAATGTGTTGCCATTCCTGAGGACTCAGATGTTATTCTTCTGTACCCTGTAAATTCACGCCATATCCTACCCTTCAAACCGAAACACAGCCATGCAAACACAACAGCTTTACGGTTGAAACACGAATGGGACAGAGGTACCCAAGCAAATAACTTTTATACAAAGTCTCCCTCTTTAATTTTTCCTGCAACCTTTAGGAATCATTGGCTTTGTTGAAAACTTGGATAATATTCATTGGAAACTGTGGCATTGACACTGAAAAATAAATAAATGTAAATGAATAAAATTTATTGTGGGTTACTCTAGTATCATTTCATTATCAATTACTCATATATCACAAGTTCCTGTTTAATTCATAGAAAATATTTTTAATTACAATCACTTATATGCTAATGCTTAAAGAATTTGCACTATTTAAGTTAAAAATTTAACGAGAAAATAAGTACACAAGTTATAAAATTACTAAAGAAAAATAAGCAAGCTTTAAAAAGAAAAAAAAAAATACTTTTTACATTAGGTCTTCGGGAGGTGGAATTTATGCAGTTTTTAACTGTAATTAGTACCTAAATATATATATATTTTCAGATATTAATTATATATATTACAGATAACACACTAATGTAATATAATACAATAATTGTTAATACTATAATATCTATATATTTTAATAATATTTAAACAGTATTCTTGCAAATGCATGCTAAATTGTAATCTGGATTTAATTTTATTAATGTAAGCTTACCAAGACTTAGAAATATTCCATAGCAGGAATAGTATCAACAAGGGATTATAATATTTTTAAAGGCGTATGTGATCAATGACTAACGAAAGGTGTAATGTGAAGATAAACAAATTAATATAAACTGTTATAAGTTAGGCATTAATCACTATCCTTCGTCCATTGGAAAAAATTAAATAAAACAAAATAATAAAAAGCTAAACTAACAATAAAGATTTTTGAAACTTAATATTTGGCGCCTTTTGCCACGCACGCATGGCCGTTCGTGATTGGTGCGTGATATCATGACAGTTAGACTGCGTTCGAAAATTATAAAATCATAATTTAAAAAAAATTTAGTTAAGAATAATCCTTGGAGATTCAAAGTTTGCATTTTATAATAATCAACTTATTTATAATAATACAAATTTAGTACATTAAGAAATTTACGCTATTATAAATGAGTTTATTATTTTGACAGTCCGTTTGTCTATGGTTTAGTAGGTCTATTGTAATTTAAACTTATTGTTGGTCGCTCGTCGGTCATTGGCTAATAAGAAGTGGCATCTCTTTCTTTTACGTCAGCAAGCAAGATGGCCGAAGTTTGTGCAAGTACGACAGACGTCTCAGTGTACTATGCGTAATGTCGTGCGCCAGTCTTTGTAAATAAACATTTTTGTGCAAGTGCTGCTTTGTTTGTAGTGTTTGTGATTATTCTTCCTGTGTTTCTGATGTGTACACGTGTTAACCATAAGTTTAACTAAAAAGGTGTTTGTGAGTGTTTTGTGCCTTGTTTTTATTAGTACCTTCACCCTGACATCTGTTTTGGATTTATGTTTACCTAAACACGGTAAGGGCTAGTCTAGTTTTTATACTTTAATTCGTAATTATGTACTTTTCAATAGTTTTTTCTTGCGTGTAAATACTTTTATTTCGTAAAGTTTTGACTATTAGGTATCTCGTTCTTATATGGGGTTATTTCGCAAGTACGAGAGAGAGAGTTCGCAAACGGTATGCTAAAGTTGTCACTCCCTATCCTTTATGGAAAGTGTGCCGCGTATTATTGTTTTGATGGCGACCTATTACGAAATGTTAGATTCGTGCTGCAGGCGCCGTGCCTGAGGTCGACTGGAAGCAATTAGAGTTGACCCTATAAGATTAAACATGACATAAGGAGCGTAGGCCGCGCGCCCGCCACTGCGATAGTGACATCAATTTTTTTTTATTTTACATTAATTTTATACTGTATCTTCACTATTACAACATTTTACAAACATTTATATAATATTTTAAAAATAGTCCGATTTTTTCATACGGTAAGAATTATACCGCTGTTATTATAACTGTTTTTATCAGTAAGTGGATTAGGCCAGTCATGTATGCCATGCCAAAATGGATAAACTTGTAGATAAATTTAGTCTTAGGTATAAAACTTTTTCCCAATAGTAATGATAACAATATTGTCGGTGCACCTGATGGAAAATTGTAACCATCACCCATAAAATAAATTCAACAATGTGTGTGAACTGAAGCCTCAATGAAATAAAATAGACATATGCACATATTATTTTCAATTAATGTGTCTTGTTTTTTAATTCAAACACTATCTACGTCTTTGATTAAATGTGGTAAGATATCCCTTCTCCTCTTCTGTATAATTTACACTATTGAATTTCAAATAAATAAATTTATATGATATGTTAATGTATTTAGTTTGATTTTCCATTCAATTCAGATAAAAAATATTTTATTAATTACTAATACATTGTGTTGTTTGCATTTGCTTCATTGTCATTGTCCTAAATTACTTATTTAGTCAGCCTAAAATGTTTTCCTCTTCCATTCGCTATTTGCATTTATTTTTAGAATATCAGTATATTATAAATTATATTGTCCAATTTCATATTGTATGAAATTGGACAATATAATTTATAAAAAACCAGTATTATTTACTAATTATATTGTGTTATTTTTTTTTACAGTAATTAATAGTTTGTTATTAAGTTTCATAAAATATACTTATTATTATAATGAAACATAATTTAACTTAGTTAAATTAATAGGTACATTTTATGTGATTTAACAAAATATTGTTATTATATAAAAAGTAACACAATTAGTAAATATTGGTATTTTTAATTCTGTATTATTTATTGTAGACAAACGGTATATTGATCAATATACATCTGTATATTCCATAAATTATATAATATAATTTAAAATTTGATGATTTAATTTGATGAGCACAGATTGATAAAATTTTTAGTAAATAGTAGTAGTAAATAATAATGCTCAATACATAAACTCATGGGCTACTTCTATCTTCAAGTCCTACCAATAGTCAAGCAAGTATACTCTGTTATGTCCACGGTACTGCTCATGTCTATAGGCGACGGTTACCACTTTCTATCAGGTGGACCGTCAGCTTGTTTGCCATTCTAAGTTGTATAAAAAAAATTACTTATAAAATATTATTGCTTAAAGTACATCTATTCAAATTTATAGTCAACATCTATAAAATATTATTTGAATTCCATATGTGATGCTAGTCCAAATAAGTTTTAGTCCAACCCTGTTGGCATGTCCCAAACAATTACATGACAATTTGGGACATATTGGTATCAAGAGATGTTTATTATCCCACTAGTTGGTCAAAGGTAGGTAGAGTTCTGTAGACTGATTTATAACTAATTGTAATAATTATGCTATGGTATATTTAATTATTATTTGGCTATGACTATTATATGTTTGAAATTGTAGCCGTATCTCTTGACAGACTGATGATTCATGTGGCCCTATAAAAATAAGGAAACAGTATGATTTGTACCATTATCTTATCTAAACGGGACAGCGTTTTATGAATTAAATATATATTATTATTTGTGTTTGTTGAGTATTACTTAAGGAGAGGTGCTGTCAGTATAGTTTGATATTTCAAAATAATGCTTTATCATATTAAAATTAATTTTATATATAATATATTATTGATAATTAAACTCAGTACTAAATAAAGGGGGTAGGCAAGAAACAATGTGCCAACACACTTAAAACTATCTAGCCATGAATTTATTGGTTACAAATAACTATTTGTCTAGAATCTATCATTGTCATCCTTGTGTATAATATAGTATATCTTATATATGTGTAAGTATATTTGTTATTTATATATATTTATTTGTTAAATGTATAAATGTGTACCATATTTGAGTATTTTGACACTTTTCTAAGGTCGACTGGGAGAGAATGCTTTTAGCATTAAGTCTGCCTTGTATACATGTATTAATGAATAAATAAAAAGAAATAAGTCTCAATTAGCCTTTAATTTAATTTATTTGAGGTGCCATATCAGTAGTTATGCTTGATTTCTTAACACTCATATTTTATAGAAAAGATCTGATTGTAGTTACAATGGCCAGTGTATACTGATAGTATAGGCAGGGTTACTATTTTATATTCATCGATTAAAAAAATCAATGTGTGATGTGATTGTAATAAATAAATCATAAAAAACTGTACTTTTTTCATATTATATTTTTTGCTACAACTAAAACTGAAGGTAGAGTGTACATAAGTTGTTTGCATGGGTATCTTTGTGCCACTGACCTTTTCCCATTAAACAAAACTGTGTTACCATATGGAGGGTGAGATATGGCAGTAAAATTACAGAGTACGGACTCATAATACTTTAGTCCTTATGAATGGCAATGCAAAGGGGTACCATGGGTGTAGCAGTGCACTCTGTGATGTCCATGGCCCATTATCAATGTGTATAATCGACGAATATCACTTTCCATCAGGCGCGCGCAGCTTGTTTGCTATTATATTCTAAATTGCATTAAAAAAAAAACCAATTGTCTTTGTTTATTACCTATGCCAACTTATAGCTCGTTAGCATCGTGAGGATGTGAAACTGATGTAGGCAATTAGATATTAGCAAGAGGCGGATCGCTTACGTAATTCCTGTGCAGCAATGTTAACCTGTATAGTTAGTTACTGGTTACACGCCATTGCATTATTATATTGTAAACATGCTAATACTTCGTTACAATCATGTTTCTTCTGTTTCACCTGTCCCCATATGGTCCCAGCATAGTATAGACACCACCCCTACCTTTCCCGTGGGTGTCGTAAGACGCGACTAAGGTAGAACGAGGGATGTTCAGTTCTTAAAATGTCTCCAAATCCTAACTGCGGTTACTAATTCACCTGCTAAGCGTGGTGAATTATCCACGATGGGCCAACTTACTTGAGTTCATCCTCAACTCTCATCCTTGATTGATATCTCGTCAGCGGTAACCAATAACGTAAAAAGCAAAGCGATTGTTAGTAATGGGGTTTGAAAACCCCATTGCAGGCAATATATCCTGTCAGGTCGACTTCCACGTGCTGCAAAATTCATCATAACAGGCTAGTAAACTTAGATTTACGAATTTTTGAGTACTTAGTCTTTTTTTTATTATTACCTATTATATTATGGTGGTACTAGTGCCCCACTAGCGGGTACCGATAGCGCAGGCGAGGTTTTTTTTTTAATGGGTGAAAATGGAATGGTAACCTCGCCTGTGTTATCGGTATACAATGACAAGGCACCAATGGAAGGTAATAGGTGAGAATGAATTCAGGTCAGGTGGTCCACCATGATGAATTCGATAAGAATGAACCATTATGGTTTCCAGGGGGAACCGCGTGGAGGTCGACCTGATAGGGTGTATTACTAGCAATAGGTTAGATAGGTTAGTTAGACCCCATTACTAACAATCCCTTTCCCCACGCGCAGGCGAGGTTACCATATCGTTTTCACTCATTAAACAAAAAACTAATAACGCAAGCAGTTTTATCATTTTCACGGTTTAATAATTCAAAAGAATTAACTGTAAAACTACATTTACTTTTTACTTTAATTTCTTATACGTATGTATACTCATTAGCTAATAATAAAATGTACTCGTATCGGATTGTGTGTTTATTCCGCATTGCGGTCATAACGTTAATAGATGGCTTGCGGTTTACATTGTATTGTGTGTAGTTGTGTTTGTTTGTATTATAGGTCCTGTCGCGTAAAGAGGTTAATGAGCCCGAGATGTTTTTTTGTCTTCTATATCTATACTAATATTATAAAGAGGAATGTGTAATGGATAAATTCTAAAATTACTCGTTGGATTTTAAAAATTCTTACACCTATAGAATTTATTATTAACCCTCTGGTCGCATTTTTTTTTGCTTCATTTTCGCACTAACGAGATTTTGAGAAACAATATCAATATACCAAAACAAAAATCTCGGGATAACGTCAATAAACATAAGAAAAGGCGAACACGTCGAAACCGCGGGATGCGTAAAATTAAACTAGTAGATATTGCACGCGGAAATCGCAGCATGTCCGGTCAGAGGGTTAATACATCACTAGCGAGTTACAGAAAGAAATAAATTATCCATTCAAAGAATCATGCTACTCACACAGTAGCCTACAAAACAAGAACAAAACGAAAAAAAAAACATTAGTATACAAAATAAAAAGCGTTTTCTACTGTTTTCTTTCAATTAAGGTCTAAATTTAAAAATAAACAGCAGGATAACTCTTGAATCCAATATCGACATCAATCTAATGATAATTTCGTACTGCACTCATGAAACAACGGTTAGGAATTAGGTTAGAATTATTTATTATTTATTTCATTAAAAATAATTATAACATTATAACAGCAAAAGCCAAATCAATGTTATAAATCTAGTGTGTTAACATACAAAGTTATAATAAATGTATTTAACCCGACTCTAGATATTTCTGATAATAATTAGGATCGATTGAAAAATAAAGTCTACAGAAGACTCCACGATATTTTTTTTAGA